AATGACAGATAATTTCCCACAAAACGATGTTGGTTGTCATTGTTATAATTTCACTCAGGTGACACTTACACCGTTAACTTTTTAGTCACACTCACGCAAATGCGTCCTAATGAAACAATGCCAATAGATTTTGTAATAAATGTACCTTCGCCTTTGCAGCTTCTCACTTTGCAACTTCCAAAATTTATTCAAAATGCAATTGGTACCTACTACTTCACCTTAATAATTATTCGATCTCTGTTCAATTAACAAGAGTGGAAGTTTTCTATGTCGGAATCCATTTAATTGTTGGCTGAACATTTCAATCAAAGCATGTACTTAACGTCGTCGCCGTTTAAATGCTAACAACTGGAAGGCGATTTTTAATCAGCGTTTTGCGATCACGCAATTGCCATATTGGTTCAGCTACTTTATACTTAAAAGGATCTTGAATTTTTTGGCCAAAAAAAAAACTTCTAAATTTGTTCCATTTTATAAATGTGGAATGTTAGTTGAATCGTGGTTTCTTGTGCTTCTATTGCGAATTTTGATTTTTTGAAGAAATACCAGTTTTCCTTTGCTTTTATACTATTATCCAGTAATCTGTGTTTTTTTTTTTCTATTATAGGCTTCTGAATTTTCTTTAGATTTTTTAGCCTTTGAATTCTCTTTAAAAAAAATTGACACTGCAACTTTGCTTATTCAGAAAAATCAGACTTATGAATTTTCTTTGTTTGGAGAAATTTGAAGGAAACAAATATTCAAGAGCCAGGATAGACGGAAAATTGAGAAGGAAGAATTTACAAATTAATGAAACGGAAATTCGAGAAAAATCGATTGGAGAAATTTAAAGAGAACTGAAATTCAAGAGCTAGGAATAGACAAAAACTGAGACATAAAGAATGATGAATAAAGAGAGGAGAGGATATTGTTCTATAAAATAGTAAAATAAAACATCTTTGTTCATTACAAATTAAATAAAAATTACCTTGAAATAGACTAAAATTGAAGCGAAAGAAACACATAGAGAGAAAATTTAAAAAATAATTGTATAAAAAATTGTATCTTTTCTATTACTCTTGAATTTTCTTAATTTGCAGAAATTTACCGAACACAAAAATTCAGACGTAGAAAAGAAGAAATAGAGAGACAAGATATTTTGATAAAATTTTAGAGAAAATTGGTCAAAAGTATTCCAGGAGGCACTTGAATATGAACTTATAAGGAGACAGAAATCTGTAAATATGTTGTTATTACTCCAATATCATTATTTTTTTATGTCTATAATATTACGATTCTACGAGTAAAATCCACAAAAGATGAGATGTTCTTGGGTAAAATTAACTAGGTCAAACGTTATAAATTTGTATTTATTTATAATAGGTATAAGTACACAAAAGCATCACTAAAATTAAGTGCAATTACCCTCATAAGCTTAGGTATAAATAATCCAACTAAAAGCGCAATTTCAATTTTTCTATCCATTAGTCTATTTGCTCATACGTTCATCTACGATCAAACTTAATAGTCATTAGGTAGTGTTTACACTATAATTAGACATTACGAGCAAGAACGTGACGAAATCCCCCTTTTGCGGTTGGCAAAGACGATTTTGCATATAGGCATCTCACGATTATTGCGTCAGACATAATCTAGGGAAGAAAATATGAAGAATATCTTAACGATAACAAGTACGACATTGTCATACGAAGATCACGCACAGTATACCCACGGCCTTGCAATGATTTTAGGCTAAGTGCTTGGCAATTTTGATTAATCACTTTAATGTTCATGTGGATCAATGAGGCGTAATGTTAATAATTTTGCTTGAAGGAATGATGGAATATACTTTCAGTGGAAGTGTGGGCGTCAAAAATAAATCGGATTTATTGAAAATAATATTTTCCCATCGGAATTGAAAACCGAGATAAACATCGCTAATGGTTTATTTTTCTTTTAGATTAAAAGACACATTCACGTAATATATGTAATAAACAATAATAATGGCAAGGTAATGATGAGCATCCTCTTAGAGTCTACACGGGGTTACATAATCTGAATTGTTTCTGCAATGTTGTCGTAGATATCTGATACAGATTATGTGAAGTAAACTTTAAGGCAATTTGTTTTATTTTTATCTCACCCTTTTATTGTTATATGATAGACGTACCTTATATCACGCAAGGTTAAAATAAGTGGACCATTTTATTACACAAAACATCAGTAGGTATATTAGAATCTCTAGAAAGTGGTTTTGTAATCAGTTTTTTACTCAAACTGGAAAATGCTCAATTTTTCAATAATAAAATTACATAGATACCTACCTGATTATACAAGGCTCATATATTTTCAACGCATCAACTAATCTTCACAATCATCATACATTTTCCTATTTGGTGAATACATCATAAATCACTAGTCAGACAAAAATCTCCCAAAACAATAAAACTCTCCTGCTTTGTTTCCTTTACATCTAAAACCCTATTGTTTCAATTTTACACGCGCCATACATGTTATATTTTTATTACCCCAATTTGGATTTTATCTTAACGTCTTCTGCAAGAGCTTCTGCGAAAATTCTGTCAAGGTCGGCCTCAAGGAAGACGGTATTTGCCTACCAGGAACAATAATTATTGCTATTTAAAGTCATTATAGCAATTGTTAAAACATTAAGCACAGTAATGTCAAAGAGATAATTGCTATTTCCTCTTAAGAAAAAAACTCAACATGTCGTGAGTTTTTGATAATATTTTAGGAAGGTACTCAGTTTTGTATTACCTGTAAAATCTTATCCCAAAATCAATGAATCTGAGACAGATTTTTCAATACAAAATTGACTCCATTTCACGTTTCAAAGTACCGACTATAGATAGCCGGCGGCACTTTGGATCTTCTTCACGCGTTTGTCAGTACCCCAGAAGGATAATCACATATTATTTCAAAGACGTTCGACTCCCTCTACTTTAAAAAAGAATTACCTAATCTGGCGCATTTTTGTTCAGTGGGTGAATTAAGCGGCTCATCTCGGAAATGGGGTAAGTCGATATATAAACTTGTATCGTGGTGGTGAGAGATTAGTCGTTACAGATTCCTCGATCTTATTTCGGATAAATTTTTTTTTTTTGTTTATAATTTATCGTAAGTAATTTTTTTTAATGAATTTTTGTTTTTTTTTTGATGGTACCTAAATTAAGTATAGTGAATATAAGTGAAAAAAGTAAATCAGTGTTGTGTTAGGTAGCAAATTTATATCCCTCTGCAGTTATGTATACATTTTATTTGGTTTGCTTTAGAAGACTAAACTATAATGAACTAATTATTGAGAATTCCAGTAACTAGAATACCTACCATTTTTGCTGGTTGTTAATTAGTGTTTCCACGTCGCTTTGAACTGCATGGACTCATTTGTTCTGGTCCATTTCTTAATTATATCTTCATCGAAGTCTTATGGTTTTAGCCATTTTAAGACTTTATTTCTCTTCTATCATTTACTTCATTGATCTTCTTTCTGTCTTCTTTGTATTCTCCTTTGTCTCATCAGTTCCCTTTCTGCAAACCTTATTATTTCCTCCTTTTTGTTATTTTTCTTTCTTGTTGCTCTCCTGAGCATGAGCTTCGAAATTCGTCTACACGTATTCCTATTGAGCTTTAATCTTTTGTCAAACAACATTTCCCACTGAGAACTTTCTGATAACTGCATGTGGTGAATCTGTTGATAACCAGAGACATCTTCAAAGATACCTACTTTTCTAGGTACTTCTACCTAGAGAGTAAATAATCTATTTCAAACTAGTTTGCAATGAAAATTAACAAAGTGGTCAGGCACGAAGTAAATATATTCACTCCACAGCTCTGCTCTAACCTCCTGAATCCTAGCTTCTATTTGAACTGCAATTCCCAGATTTGACTTCTCTTGAAAAATTCCATAGCAGGTATCATAATGTTTATATAATATGAACTTTCAAAACGTCCTTCCAGCAAAATGCGATTTTCAGATTTTTATCATTTTTCTATTGATATTATAGAGAGCCGACATCTTCCTACAAAATAATCAACATCAGTTTTATGTAACGAAAAGATTACGGTATTCATGTACCCGCAAGCAATTTGTAGCACTTTGTTGCTCAAAATTATACTTATTGACACGCATCTGCTCCAGGACTAAAATTTTAATATATTGTTAAACATCATTACAATATTTGTTGATACTCAGGCAAAAGTATATGTACAGGGTGTCACGAAAGGTTTCTTACAAACTTCTAGGGATAGTAGATCTCGTAAAAATAAAGTTTTTTTCTTAATGAACATGTGTCCCGAAATGCTTCGTTTTCCAGATATACAGGGTATAAAACTTTGTAAAAAAAATCAATTTTTACATTAATTCTCAGAAGTGGATGCGTTTTAGAAAAAAATATTTTGTTTATTTTTAAGCAACAAATAGCCTGGTAAAATTTCATGAAATTCTGTGGCAATTTATTTTTTATTTATGGAGGTCAGTGCCGTTCGTGGTTAGCCTGAAATGGTTTTTAAATTTTATCTCGAAAACTAAGCAGCATACGGAGAAAAATGAAGAGACAAAAAAGTTGTATCTTCAAGTGTTCTATATAGTTCTATTCAAAAAGCATATCCGAATTAAAAATAAACCTACTGGACGATGTTTTTCGTGCAAAAAACCATCCGACAGAACCTGTGGCACGTCTCTAGAATTACTGGATCAACTCTGAGCAGTCCAAAAGATAACTCATAAAAATGTCAACAAACTTTGAAAATTTCATTTAATTTGTCCAACGCATTTCTAAGAATTAATAAAAAAAAAATGGCTTTTTATACAAAGTTTTACACCCTGTATATCTGGAAAACGAAGCATTTCCGGACACATGTTTATTAAGAAAAAAGTTTTATTTTTACGAGATCTACCATCCCTAGAAGTTTGTAACAAACCTTTCGTGACATCCTGTATAGTCATTTTTAGCTTTTAGATTTTTTTTTACCCAAAAGGTTACAATTTATATTTTTTCTAGGTTGCAGAATGAGATGGACACACTTAGGCATAGGTAAGTGAACTTGTTCAGCATAAAAATGTATACAGGGTGGGGCGCGAAAAACTTCCCACCCACAGTTTCTCAGGTGTTAGGTGTTTAATCAAAAATCGCTCAGACACGTCAATTTTTGTTGGACACATTTTGTTGGTATTTTCACTCCTACCTGTCAACCCCTAAGTGGGGACAACAGGTACCCCCAAAATTTTAAATGGAAAGAGGGGTCGAGTGATATGTTATTTAGTAGCTATTTTCATTAAGATTATATCCCCGAAGTTTCAAGTTGCTACCCTGCCGAAATGGCGGCATGTCAAAGTTAGGATAAATGCTTTTTTTCGATAATCTGAACTGTATAGTTTTTACCTGTCACACCTATGCGTAGGTAACAGGTAAAAACCGCGCAGCATTTTTCCATTGATTTTTCCTAACTTTGACAAGCCGCCATTTCGACAGGGTAAAAGTAGCAACTTAAAACTTCGGGGATATAATCTTAATTAAAATAGCCATCAAATGACGTATCACTCGACCCCCCTTTTCATTTGAAATTTTGGGGGTACCTGTCACCCTCACTTAGGGGTTGACAGGTAGGGGGATGAAAATACCAATAAAATGTGTCCCCCAAAAACCTGGGTGAGAAGTTTTTCGTGCCCCACCCTGTATAATTATCTCAAAAAAAAACATGGGCCTAAAACAGAGTCACTGTCAATACCAGGTAGGTATCGTTCTCAAACAATCAAATATGCACAATAAATATGAAATAATAGTCACGAGAAAACCAAAACTAAGCCATTGTTCCAAAGACAATTTTTTTTTTAATGTGGGTTGGTGCTTGAATACGATTAACTCTAGTCAAAACTAATTACTACTTAAAACGGAGTCTCGCGTTTCAATTACTTATCCATGTCACTTGCTGTTCACACATAAATTATGAGATCTATTTCAACTTTGTCTATCTTGATAATAATGATGATACGACTATGTTTTGTTGCACAAACGAATTTTGTAAGAAAGTATTAGGAAATGTTTAATTTTTTCATGAATTTAACGAGATTTACTTTTATTATTTTTATTTCAGTTGTCTTTTTATTCCTAAAGGGCACCTTGGTAAGTAATTTTTCATTCATGAAGCAACAATTCACAAAAAATTTGCCTTAAAAAGGGGCAACAAGGTTACAACTACCCCACTCCTCAATCTCCTTTTAACGGAGGCTCCTCGCAACAAGGCCAAGGCGGCTTTCCATCAACTGCACCTGGAGGCACACCAGGAGGATACCCATCCGGTGGAGGATATCCATCAGGTGGATCATTTCCTAGCACTCCTGCTACAAGTTTCCAACGTCCTGGCTTTGGTACCACTTCAGCTCCAAGTAATGGATATCAACAAGGCGCAACTACAGCCGCTGAGTATCCAGGATCTACACCCACAGGATATCCAGCTGCAGGACGACCAAGTGGTACACCATTTCCACAAGGTCCAAGTCAACTACAAGGTATAAATTCACTAAAATGCGATGAAGTTAGAGTTATTTTGATAGTTTATGTTGTAGGTCCATCAGGGTATCCTTCTGAAGGAAAACCTGCCAGACCAGGATTTCCATCAAGGCAGCCACAAGGTTTGAAGTTAGATCTTTTCACACTTATTGTTATTAAACATGATTTAATTATATAAACTTAGGACCTAGTGGAACAGGCCAAATTCCAACTTCACCTACTGGTCCAACAGGATATCCTTCAGCGGGCCGACCTTCCGGGCCTGGCTTTCAATCTGGACAACAACCATCGCAAGGCGGATATCCTTCTGGGCCTGGTGGTCAACAACCATCGCAAAACGGATATTCTTCTGGGCTTGGTGGTCAACAACCATCGCAAGGCGGATATCCTTCTAGGCCTGGCGGTCAACAACCATCGCAAAACGGATATCCTTCTGGGCTTGGTGGTCAACAACCATCGCAAGGCGGATATCCTTCTGGGCCTGGCGGTCAACAACAGCAAGGAGGTAAGCATTAAATTTTTAAAATCACAATTACATTAAATGGCAAAGTAGGATACCCTGGTACTCAACAACAGCCAGGATATCCAGGTCAGCAAGGCGCTCAAGCAGGACAAGGAGGTTCGTATCCTGGAACACAAGGACAACAAGGAGCTACAACTTTTGGGCAACCTGGTCAAGGTGGATTTGGACAAACTCAAGAAGGGCAAGGCAGACCTGGACAATTTGAAGGTATAATCTACAGCCATTTTTGCTGCAAATAAAAATATTCTATTGCATAGGTGGACAAGGCGGATTTGAACCATCAGAAGAAGAAGAAGGAGATTATTCAGCTATTCCTGGAGAACCAAATGTTGATTATCCGATTTTATCTTTCGTTCCTGAAACTTCGTTCAGATGTGAAGATCAACAATACCCTGGATATTATGCCGATGTTGAAGCTAGGTGATAAATACCTACATCAATAAAAATTTCCAACTTACAAGTTACTTTTTAGATGCCAAGTATTCCACATTTGCGCCAACAACAAAACCTACGATTTCCTCTGTCCGAACGGAACCATTTTCCATCAAGAGTACCTGGTATGCGTTTGGTGGAACCAATTCGATTGCAACGACGCGCCTTCCCTGTTTGGTGTAAATGCAAACATTTACGACTATTCCATTACAGGAGCCCAACAAACTGGTGCTATTCCTGCAGGATCTGGCTATGAAGGAACTCAAGAAGGGGGCTACCCATCTACAATTGGACCACAAGGACCAGGTAAGATGAAGAAATAATTAACTTTTTTTTTTCTATAAGTTTTGAGTTCAAGGTGCAAGTGAAGGCTATCCATCAGGAAGACCTCAAGGTGGTGCAGGTCAGGCAGGAGGATATCAGCCTAGTGGACCAAGTGGACAAGCACAAGGTAAATTGATAATAATAATGAACATTGTTTTTCTATGTGTTAAAATGTTATTTTTGTCTGGCTTCAAGACTCGTACGAATTCGTATCTCAAATTAGTCTTTTTGACAATAATTATCATTTTTTAACGTTGTTGATAATTCTATAAATACAATAATCTATGTTTGATCCGTTTAAGGTCCAAGTAGAGGCTATCCTTCAGGAAGACCTCAAGAAGGTACAGGTCAAGCACAAGGATACCAGCCTAGTGGACCAAGTGGCCAATCACAAGCACAAGGTAAAATGCTTATAATAATTAACTTTTTCACAAAATTATATGTTTAAGGTCCAAGTGGAGGTTATCCATCAGGAAGACCTCAAGGTGGCGCAGGTCAATCAGGAGGATATCAGCCGGGTGGTCAAACACAAGGACCAGATGGCGGTGCTGAAGGATACCAACCAAGTGGACCTAGCTCTGGTTTTCCAGGTAGATATTTGACATAAATATTTAATAATAATTCCTTCATTTTTGATTTCTTTTATTTTTGTTATGGACATACTAAGCTTGGGTTAGTTTGGTTAGTTAGTTATTTATTACAAAAAAATATATTTTACTTCCCAGGTCCTTCACAATTCCCTGCAGCTCAAGGACCTCAGAGAACTGGCCAGCAACAACAAGGTTATCCTTCTGGAAGCCCACAAGGACCAGCCTTTGGACCTACTGGCCCTCAAGGACCTTCAACGCCTGGACAATCGTCTCAAGGATCATTCCCAGGCTCTGGCCAACCAACACAAAGGCCCGGATATTTACCGCCAAGGCAAAATGGGCAAAGACCGGGTGGTCAACAACCCAGTGCTGGATACCCAAGTGGGCAACCTTCAGGTTTTCCTGGAGGCCAACAGCCTTCTCCTGGTGCTGGGTATACTAATGGTCAACAGCCTTCGGGTGAAGGATATCCTGGCGGACAGCAACAGAATGGTGGATATACGAATGGCCAAAGGCCTGGAGGTAGGCCTCAAGAGCCAACTAGAGAATATTTGCCACCAATTGGAAAATAATATTCTCATAGAGATTATTCTGTATTTGAGCCAGTGTAAAGGATTAATAGTGAATCTTTTTTTCACACATAGATCTCTTACCATTACACGGAATTCACTATTATAAGTAGTAAGTTATTATGTAGATAATTTTAACTATTTAGGTTCCTTGCCTGTCATGAAATGTACAAAATAATGGATTTTGTGCTGTAAATAGTTTTACATTTATAAATGATATATTTTTTTTTAATGAAAATAAGTAAAAATGTAAAAATCGATTTACATAGTAGAATATAGTTACTTATTAAGCTACGCTTACCAATAAAGAGTTACCATTTTGTACCGAATGTAACATAATGTGTTCAAATGTATGAAATTTATTTTACTTCAAATAAATACCTGCAATAATTTTAGTAACAAAAATAATTATTTTAGATTTATGAATTAGGTACTTGGCGACAAAGATCCTGAATCTTATTCCTGAGAATATTGAGAGTTTATTTATTTGCATAGCTTCTGCAAAGTTTCACTGCTAAATCAACTTGAACAAGTTAGAGATGTAAACATGCAGTAAATGAACTGTTAGAAAACATGCTGGATGCAGCTGTAGAAGGATGATTACCAATTCAATAGTTAAATGCACAAGATTGGCCCTATGCAAAAACCAAATAATTTAATTAAAACCATATTTTTCATATTTCTACATTCGAAATTACATCGGTTTTTCGTTCAAAAATAATTTTAAAAACATTTTTAATAGCCACCGCATATGCCGCAGATCTAACATCTACACCAAGCTTCAAAGATTCTAAATTTTTCGATATTTCCTAAAAAGAGATGTACTATAGCACAAACATATTGCTAGAAAATCCAGTTATACCTGTCCTACTTCTGTGTAAATAAATTCAATAGCATTTTTCGTAAAATCACAATCTAAAGGTTTAAAAATGTCACATTGAGTCTTCGATCCACCAACAATTACTTTTTGACTTTGAGAGGTATTGTTAAATATATCTGTATAAATTTTTGTGCTACATCTACAAAAGTTTGAAGTCCAATATTATTATTAGGGAATAAAACAATCACCTCAATACATTCTCAGCCCCACATCCGATCTGCTGCATATTCCGAAGATATTCAAAATACGAAATCACATTTGATCCAGCACAAGCATAAATATCCGGAATAACGAGTTTTGATTTGGTTATTAAAATTTTGTGTGCCATTGGTGTAATTGGACCATCTTAAATTTGAATTGATTAAAGGAAAAATTAAAGCTAATTGATCTGACCTGCAGCTTCTAGAATCACTCTTGCTTTAACATCTTTAGCAACAGAACAAGTTAAACTTTTTTGAGTGGCTGCCAGCACAAGAATGTCACACTCTTCAGTGAAAATTGAAGTAGGAAATTCAGTTTTTGACAAACCAAAATGTTCAATTGTATTGTGTTTTTCTTTATGTATGAATAGTTCCTAAGAAAAAAACTTGTAGAATCATTAAGTGCATGTCAATGAATTTACTTTCAAATCAATTCCTTTGGCATCATACAAATAAGCATCATGATCTCTTACTCCTACACATATTGCTCCATTTTCCAATAGCAATAATGCTAATGGTTTTCCTACTTTGCCTAGTCCCTATAGAAAAATTTATTCAAAAAGGGCATTTACTATCAAAAATGGTTATGGTACCTGTATTATAAACCTTTTATTTTTTAGACCCATTTTACTGCAACCAGTTTTCAATAGGACTTCTGCATTATTCAAGGATTCTAAAGCCTTAAAGGCTCCTAAAGCAGCAGCTTTATCATAGCCCTCTATCCCGCCATATTCCAAAGGCTTTCCGGTGGATGCTGCATTAATACTTTGTCCTAAAATAAGCTACCTATTGATTTAAATATTCAAAATTGCCACATATATTAACCAGAGCATGTAGCATAAGCCTCACAAATCCATTTCATGTATTTATGTGATGTATTGATATCTGGGTGAAAAACATCCAAGTGATTACAATATCCCTTCTTAAATAGTTCTGCAACATAAAGATCAATCATATTTCTCAATTCCTTTTCTGAATATTCTTCAGGGTTGATTTTAATGCCGCCCATGGCTCCAGATAGGCCTGTACCCAAACAAAAATTCTTCATAGCTGACAATACTGAAAGGGCTTTCATATGATCTCTTGTAATGTCTTCGTGAATTCTCAATCCTGCGGAAATATTATTAAAAATTATTTTTAAGGTGCAGCATAAGAAATGCCTCCTAAACAAGGTGTGTTTTGGATAGACTCTCCATAATGAGCCCGAAATCCTCTGATAACTTCTAGATTTCCGTTTTCTCTTCTTAGTGGAAATCTAACATCGATAATGGAGTTGCATTGATCTATGCTTTCGATGACATTTTCTAATTTTGCATGGATTTTACTGTCACTGATTCCTAATGGCTTCACATTATGTCTAGAATTTACCGAAATATGATTATTGATTAGTATAAATTTTAGGATTTAAGTATATTTTTTTACCTGTAGCTATTTTTTAAAAATGGGAAAACTACTTCGTAAGCACTATGCAAAAACCAATTTGTACTATCGAAAAAGGACGCATTTGCAAGATAAAACGCGTTCCTGTATCTCTCGGGTATATCATATTCTAATCTAGCATAGGGTTTTGAGATAATGGAAGCGGACTTTTGCATTTCTTGAAATTTTCAAAAATAATTTGACAAAGTATATGACTTACAATGTCATTTTTTTTTATACTTAGTACTGGGAGCACTTTTACACCAAATGTTAAAAAAAAAATCAAATAATTGTCTTGTAAAAATAACCAAGTACCTATATTTACTATTCACATATACAAATTACTAGATAGTGTATCAACCTTGAAATCAACCTTAACTTCTAATCCTAATTTCTTAAACAACTCAACAATTTCAGCAGTGTTCAATGAATCTATTGGCATATTATCTGTAAATATTACCCACAAACTGGCCTTAATATTATTATGAATACAATAAGACAAAACATTAGCCCCTAAACCTTCTATCAAATTAGGTGATTCCAATCTTTTACAAAACTTATAAGGAACTTCTTCTAGATTTGTCAAGCACCTTGAAAACGAAACTGGAAGTGTACCATCTAAGGTTCTATCTAAACACTCATGAGGTTGGAATGTTGAAATCAATGAACTTGTTATGCAATGTATGGATTTAGCTGTTGATATCCAGGTTGATAATAATTCAACAATCTAAAAGTTGAATTATGTTTGTTAGAGGATTATTAGGTTCCATGAAGGTCCTTATTTACCTCTCCAGTAATTAAGTTTTTGCTGTTCCCATCATAAACAACCAAATATTTGTTATGAAACTTGTAAATAGAAATACCTTCGTTGGTAAGTTTTGCTACTGGTGATTGCTTAGATATTTTGGCGCTTACTTGAATTACCTTTGGAGAGTCAGCAAATATTAGAGTTTCAATCTCTTTCGGTAGCTGTGAATCGCCATCCCATTCGTAAACTGACCTTAAATTATTAGAAATTTATAAGGCATTGTATTAAAGAAGTTGTGCAGACTTTAGGTTTCATAGTTCTCTAAGGATAAAACGAGGGGTTATTCACTAAGGAAAAAATGTGACAAGATTTCGGATTTAGAGCGATTTTGAGGGATTTCGAAGGATTTTGGAGGATTACGGTAGGATTTCGGAAAAATTTTGAGAGATTATTTCACTGTGACAGGATTTCAGATTTAGAGCGATTTTGAGGGACTTCGGTGATTTTGAAGGATTAGACTGTTACTTATGTTATATATAAGTATATTCGAAAGTGTATTAGTATAAACTGAAAAACGGCCGCGTTGACTGATTAATGAATTTTGGGCCAATTGCGAGGGATATTTGGGTCTGCGGAAAGATTTCTGAGCGATTTCAGAGTTAGTTCGTGGATTTCGGAAGGATTTCGGTAGGATTTCGGAAACATTTCGGGGATTTCGGACGAATTTGTGACACGATTTCGGGGAGTGATTAACCCCTCGGGATAAAATGTATCTTACTCTATGTATTGGGGCAAATCTTCCAAGTCATCCTCTAATATCAAGGCTCTTGTACTAGGCTCTACGATTTCTCCAAAAACCATTTTTGAGCAAGGAAATTTAAAAAGTTTATTGTTAAAATTCAAATCTGACTTGCAGTTTGTTTGTTTGTTTACAATTTATCTTTTTGTGAGGTTAAGGTGCAACTTGTCAAATTTTCTTCTTGTTTTTTCATTGGCCTTAGCAACTGCCAATCCGTAGCTAACTTAACTCCTCTCATCTGTATGGATTTTTTGAGGTTATGTCACATTAGTGTTTATACTTTTATGTTCCAGTTTTTAATTACTTAACTAAGTAAAATGTTTAGTTTACGCTTCAAAAAGGCTTCATTGAATCAATATTTGCTCAAAAAAACACTGCAGAGGCTCTATGCAACGTCAATTAAGCCCATCGAAAAAGAGTCCACCTCCGATGAGGAATTTAATAGAGAATTGAAGAAATATGATAGATTAACGAATATTGCTACAAGAACTAGAGAGAAGAAGCCGCAAAGAGAGCCTTTCGTTAAAAATCTATTAATAGGTAAAATTAATTATACCCACATCAAGATTCTTTGAGAGGATCCTTCCTCAGTATTGAATTATTTCATGCTTTTTACCTAATAGGACACTTCTATTATGTTTTATATAATTGCAGGACAATTTGATAGAGAGATATTAACATTTCCTGAAATGGAACTTGAAGAGGTCAGAAATGTAGAAGAAGCAGTGGAAAAGTTGAGCCAAGTATTGCAACAAAGGCATATGGTTAATGTTAATTCTATTGGAAACAAAAATTTCCGGTAAGAATTAGTGCATTTTTAATAGTAAAAAACTTAGAACTGCACTGTTGTTTTACAGAAATATTTCAATTACAGTGAAACTCGCAGTGAAACTTCTCTAACTCGAACTTCCTAAACTCGAAATATTCTCTAAATCGAATTTTTTCCACAAACAAATCTGTACCTCAGAGGTAAACTGTATTAAGTCACTTTTTTTTCGAAAATGGGTTTTTAGCTGAATACTACTTCTAATAACTTACTTGACCTCTGAAAAAAATTTCATACACCTAGCTTTTAAGACAACCGAAATACCCAGTTGGAACCTGTATCAGGTCACTAACCAAGCTCAAAGGTAAATTGTACTAAAATCACTCGGTATATTATGCCCCGCAAATTTTTCTCCAGAAGGACGTACTTAATATAAAATCCCTCTGAAATTTTCAGTGGGCCGGCATTCTACACGTGTTCTTAGTAGAATTAACATCTTGATTATTCGTCTTTATTGTTGTTTTGATTGTTATTATTACTATTGGTGAAATTCCAACAGAAATAATGGGTGGTATGAATGAAAACGAAGTATCTGCTACTACTACAAGTATTAGTAGATTATCCGTAGTATTTACTTTAAAATGAAGTACTTAGATACTACATTTCGAAACCAGCGAAAATAAGTAACTGCTACTTTTTGAAGTAAATACTGCATAGAATATACTAATACGTGTAGTAGTAGCATAGGTAGTAGCAAGTACTTCGTTTTTATTCATACCACCCAATTATTGAAAATGTTATGAAAGTATACCTCACTCACTAAGATAATATAAAAGATGGATAAAACTTTGGTATAGGATAAATTGAATGCACCTCATCGTCATAAAAACCAGAACTTTCAGTGTGAGGCGGGGAATTAATAAAAAACTTCAGCATACTCATTCATCTTAGAAATGTTATACAGTGTGTCCACTTAAGTTCGCAGCATATGGGAAACTTCTTTATTATCAATTTTACAAAAAAAAGTTATTCTTTATAAAAGTTTCTGCTTCTTGAATAAATAGCATTAAACTATTGAAATTTGGAATAGCATGTACAGGGTGTTTAAAAAATAGAAAAATATACAGAATTTTTTGGTAAAAAACGGTAAAATTAGAAAAAAAATGGCAAGTCACTATTTTTTAAAACCTTTGATATTTTTTTTAGATTTAGCAAGTCATATTACAGTCAAAAGAAACCTTTCGTTATCACAAACAGACCTGCCAAATTTGAAAAAAAAATTGGAAAATGGATTTTTAAATTAAAAAAACGATTTTTTCTAAAACTTTGACACCCTGTATCTCAGAAATTACTTATTTCCGGACACATGTTTATGGGAACTTTTTTTCTTAAAATATTGTAAGGTTATCCTGAAGTTACGAACCGTTCTTAGGAAACACCTTGTATATTTTTCTATTTTTTGACCACCCTGTACAGGGTGTCCGAATTTGGATGGTTTTAATAGGAAACGTCAATTTCTGAGCGAGATACAAAAAAATGAACCCCCCACTCCGAGGCTCAAATTTCTTGAAATTTTGATTGGTGCAAACCGCATTTTGATATCTTCAACCGTTTAGCCGCTAGAGGGCGATTCTCGATTTTGAGCAATACTGTGAAATCTTCATAACTTTTTTGTTTATAAAAATAACTGATTTCCATGAAAATTTCCTAGAAGCACTTTTTCAAGCAGAATTCAGTGACGTTTTCAGTTTTTTTTCTGTTGGGCCTCGATTTTAAGATATTGGCCAAAATCCGAAGTTTTTCAATGGGACACCCTATATATTAATAGCTCTCTAAAAAGCTCTGCTTTTGCTGATTTCAATGATATAGATTTCCATAGGTTCATCTCTAACAGTTTTTGAAAAAAAAAATTATTTCGTTTTTTTCCATAAGAAACCATGTGTTGAAAAAGGTCTTTATATTTGTAAGGAAAATGAGAAAGGTCTCTTTTTAACTCATTGTTTCTTATGACAAAAACCAAAATACCTTTTTTTCTGGAAAACTGTTAGAGATAAACCCATCCAAATTTGTATCATTGAAATCAGCAAAAGCAGAGCTTTCTAAAGAGCTATTAATATATAGGGTGTCCCATTGAAAAAAATAGGATTTTGGTCAATATTTTGGAACCGAGGCCCAATAGAAAAAAACTGAAAACGTCACTGAATTCTGCTTGAAAAAGTGCTTTTAGGAAGTTTTCACGGAAATCAGTTATTTTCATAAACAAAAAAGTTATGAAGATTTCACAGTATTGCTCAAAATCGAGAATCGTCCTCTAGCGGCTAAACGGTTGAAGATATCAAAATGCGGTTTGCACCAATCAAAATTTCAAGAAATTTGACCCTCGGAGTGGGGGTTCATTTTTTTTGTATCTCGCTAAGAAATTGACGTTTCCTATTCAGACACCCTGTACAACATGCTATTTGAAGTTTTAGTAGTTTAATATTATTTTTTCAAGAAGCAGACACTTTCCTAATTTTTTTTTTTTTTTTCGTAAAATTGATAATAAAGAAGTTTCCCATATGCTGCGAACTTAAGTGGACACACTGTTTATTTTTTTTTTGCATTTCATAATCAAGAATATTTAATAATTTTTCGATGAATCCCGATTTTTTCACACAATTTATTGTCTATTACCCAATAATTCTGAAAAACTTTTGTCTTGAAACACGTTTTTCAAAACATTGGCTACATCAAAATTTTCCTAATTTACTACAGGTAAACTATGTTAAGTCACTAAAATATGTTTTAAGTCGCATGTCATTATCAACTTCACTAGTGGTAATTGTTATTTATGTATCAAGGGAATTACGAGGGTGTTAATACCCCAGGGCAAAGTTTGTGTCTCGAGGGCCTTCGGCCTGAGGGGCACCAATTGCTTGTGGGTATTAACACCTTATAATTCCCATGGTACATAGATAATTTTATTTCCTACCGAATTTACTGTATTTTGTCCATTTTTATAAAGAAATAAACCATAAACCAAAATTTCTATTTTTTGTCAAAGTTTCACCTATTCAAGGTAAAAGCGGGAGTTATGGAAATCCTTAACTCCCTTGGGATAAAATATGTTGTCACTAAAACTAATTAGTACTGGCATTTTTTCTAAATCAAATAACTCTTATTACGTCACTAAGACATAATTCTATGAGCGAAATATCAGGATCACTAAATTATAGGGTTTTGAAGAGATACCTAATTTAGGTGATTTACAATTGTTTTTTGGCTCTCCTGAAAAATTATAATATTATGACTTAATACTGAGCTTAATACACTTTACCTCTGAGGTACAGAAATAGGTTTTCTCAACCTTACTATGTATTATTTTCCCCATAAGTCGAATCTCTAATCTCTATAACTCGAATATTTCTAAAACTCGAACTAAAATTTAGTGGCAACAGTGGCGAAAACTAATCATTTAGTGCCTTGGTTAAATTACCAATTCTCAGTGGCCAGCGGCGACAGATAGACTTGTATGTATGTATATAATGTATAATGTATATTATGTAACTACATAATATACATTCAAATATCCTCAATTTTCTGTATTTTTCCATAACTCAAACTCGGCTTCCTGTCCCTTGAAGATTCAAGTTAGAGAAGTTTCACTGTAATTTAATAACCACAATTCATTAATTATTTATTATTATGTTAAAAGTATCCAGCTATGAACAAATCCATCTTAAAAGCATTTAATTTCCTATGACTTGGTATATTTCCAGGCAAAATTTAGCAGATCATAGGGCAATAGGCTTGCAATCATCTCAATTTTTGGATGGACGAGAATGTTGTCCTATGGAACTAATGAGATTTTTAGATACTTTATCTGAACATAAATTGGGAAACAGTTTGCTGCACAATGAAATGTTGGGTGAGCAGCACCTGAAACTAATTTTATAATAAATAATTATGTATACATTTTATACCTTCAGGTGTCCAGACTTTAAACAAATTTGCAGACGACAATTTGAAAAAGAAATATTTGCATTCAGTTATTAAAGGCGAACAGCTATCTGCATTTGCTATGCATGAGATAGATGTTATGGATATTTTGAAAATGAATACCACAGCTGTTTTGTCTGATGATAAAAAATATTGGGTAATTAAATATTATTGCGTTTTATTTTCTTTGCAAATCATATTTATTTCTAGACTTTAAATGGAACTAAATCCCTTGTGGTAAATGGAATATCTGCTGATTTTGTGATAGTTTTTGCTATCACTGATAAAGCTCATGCGGGACATGATGAAAGCAACAGTTTAACAGCCTTTGTAGTTGATAAAAGCACTTCGGGTGTAAGCTGGAAAAAAATTGAACCTTCTAACATTGAAATGGCAGACATTACTTTTGATAATGTTCAAGTGCCAGCAGGTATAAAATATTAACAATTATTTTTTATAACTTATTAATATTTTTTTCCACAGAAAATGTCATAGGAAAAGTTCACCAAGCTGACAAAATTCTTAGATCGATCATTGGAGATTTTAGATTGAGTGCTGGTCCCGCTTGCAATGCAATTTCCAGGAGAATGGTGCAAAATCTGTTCAAACATATTGCTGAATTAAGTACTACTGAATATAATCTTGCTGATACTGATGCAATGAAATCCAAATTAGGACAAGTAAGCTTATGACTTTAGTCTAACTCCTATTAATCAAAATATTTATCTTAGGTTGCAATGGAACTTTATGCAGCTGAAAGTGTTACATATCTAACAGCAGGTTTACAAGATTGGTATGACGAACAAGATGTAGAGGTTGAAAGTGCCATTGTCAAGGTAATTAAGTTTTTTTTTCGATTATGAAAAGTGTAATTAATTTCTCTTTAGGTTTTCACTTCTGAAGCTGCCTACAGAATTTCCACTATTTGTCTAGATCTTGTAGGTCAACATGCAACTACTACAAATCATTGGGCAAGACAAGCCCATGAAGAGATACTTGATTACCTCACTGTACATGAAACTAATGAAAGCCAGAGGATGTTTATGGCCCTGAATGGGTTACAACATGCAGGGGTGAGACTATTTTTTTCAATCAAATTCTTATTAATTTTGGAGGAGTTACTATTTCAGATAAATTTGGCTGCAAAGATTAAAAGAATTAGAAATCCCTTTTTCAATGCCACATACAGTTTGATGCGGATTTTTACTGAGCACCGTCAAAATGAAGACAAACCCAAGTTGGATTTGGAATTGAATGCCCATCTGCATCCATCACTCTCTGATCCCTCAAAACAGTTGGAGTGAGTCTGTAAAAAATAAAGCAGAAACTATCACTAAATAGTTTTTTTTTTTTAGATATTGTGTTAAAAGACTGGAATTTGGTACAGAAAGACTTTTAGCTAGACATGGCATAGAATGTATAAATAAACATGCAGATTTGAGGCGACTAGCTGACATCATGATAGATTGTTATGTTTGTACTGCTGTTTTAGGTAAGAGTTTTTTTTTTCTAAACTGCTCATAATAATTTATATTATTTATACTTTCTTGTAGCCCGATCATCTAGGTCGTATTGTATTGGTCTCCAATTTGCCGATTATGAAGTATTAGCAGCATCCATATACTGTAATATAGCTATGGAAAGGGTTAGAACAGAAGTTAGAAACTTGTACTTTACTGAATACAAAGCTACCGATAGAAATTATATTGCTTTTGGAAAGCGAGTGGTGCAAAGTAAAGGATACTGCCTCACAAATGCTATAAGCAGGTTCTTTTAGGTATTTTAATTTAAATGGACTGTTAATTTGTCTGTTTACTTAATTGTATGAGGTCCACAAAAATTTAAAAGATACTGTTAATGAAAAAAAATATATTAGTTATTGTAAATAAAGCTTCCTTGTACAAAATTAAATATTTATTTTGCACATATAGAAAGTAAAATAAGTGTGGGCCATAAATTTAGTTGCTGATCTCAGGAAAGTTGATTATTTTACAAGCCTACTCTAAGTGGTAATTTGCAGGAGTAAAGATGGAGGGAGAAGAAAAATTATTTGATAATTTGGTGTTAAACAGATGACAGATGGATATTAAACTATTTGGGATATTTGAAACAAGCTTAAGCATTTAAGTCATCCACTGGGAATATTTTTAAATTTTTGATTAGCTTACCAGAAATCGTCATCGGTAGCTCAAACAATGTCTGAGTTATTCAGCTTCAAATTTATTTTTTTTCTTCAAAACTTCAGAATTAATTTCCTCAAAAACTGTGATCCTAGAAATGATAATTTAGAATACTAATAGGTACGTTTCAAAGCATTCGATAATAATTAAAATCAATATCTCAAAAATGTTTATTTCAGTAGGTATCTCATATACATATAGGTATTACAGTGATGTAAAATGACGGTCATTTAAAATCGTGACGGTCATTTGCGTCATAACATGTCATGATCATGGTCATAATTCATAGTAATTATCTCAATATAAAAATACCACTACCCACAGTCTATCGTCTATAAACTCACAAATTTGTTTAAAAGTCAATTATTGATTATAAAGTTTTGACAAATTATTAGGGATTTCAGAACAGAAGAAATTTCAACAAATTACAAAATAAGTGAATAAAATCTATCCTAGCCTAGCAGGTAGCAGGTAAAATAAAATAACAAAAATAATAATTATTCACCTCAAATGCAGTAAGTGATACTTTACCGCACGTAACGATAGTCATTAAGTGTGGTAGAGGCACTTCTCGCATGTGTTAGGTATAAAATTATACCTATTAGCATCTATATCTCCAAAAGAAGGTGTTCAGTTTCGTCTACGAGCCCTGTATATAGTTGTAGGTTAAATTGAGTATTTAGGATGTCAAATCCTATTTGGGAATGGACCTTGATTCGTTTTTTTTTTTCTTCTTTATTTTTTGTTTCCCTTAATTCTAATTGAATTGCGCGTTTTATGCCTGAGAATTGATACTACGGCTTTACTAAATTTGGCTATATAAAATGCGCGCGTTAAACATTGAAAAGGATAACGGCAAAGTCCTTACATTGACGACCAGTAAATCAGTCGCCAAAAACACTCCGTCCGTTTCGTGTGATTCGAAAAAATAGGCCCGCGGTTTTTTCGCTTGCCGCGACCGATTAAATCAAGAATCAAGACGGTTTCGTTTGTACTCCTTCGCATTGGACTTGAACTTCCTGAAAGAGCTGGCCAGCTGAGTGGAGTTTGGAAGTACAGCCAGGTAAGGTGAAAAAATATCCTTTTCAGTTTCTGTATCTTTTAATTTCAATTCAAAATCTTTCATCAATTACCATTCTATCAGCCACCTGTGGATTTTCCAGTTTTAATTTCGCATAGAAGGCATTATTGAAATTTCTGAACATGAAAGGATTTTTGGGTGTAACTAAACACCGAATCCACTTTACCGTATACTATGCAGTCTACTTCACTGCACATTTCCACACTATGCGGTAAAACAGTCACATTGAATGTGCCGTGACGGTCATAACCGCCGTCATGCGTGCTAGTCATGACTCACTAACATCACTGGGTATCAAGATAAATATACTTATGCAAGTTGAGGTTTAAAGATGTTCATATAAAAATCCTTATAAAAAGTGTGAAAATTAACCCTGAATGTTTATTTTTGGAGGTTTTTTTAATTTTTACTATTCCAATGGATAGAGCAAGCAGATTCAAATTAGACAAAAAAGACCCAAACATCATATCTATTCAAATGACAAATTAAATGGAAAAGAAATTTGCATTTAAAAGTTATTAATTGTCTTGAACCTTTGAAGATAAATGATTAGAAACTATGAAAAATCATATCTTCAATTATAAATTGTATCATAGATAAGAATAAGCTGAAATTTCCAGAGAAACTTATTCTAGTAAAGAACTACAAACGCTGAAAATCCAATAATCATAGTAGAGGTAAAGACAATGGGTACATTTAGGCGGTCCCAGCGGCTTAGCTCAGCCTCTCAGCAGGAACTTTATTCTCGAAACCAAGAAACAGCGTTCTCATTGGAACAAAGGTTCTGTCTTTGTCGTCCGGCATAACACTGACAATGACAAAGCAATTGTTCTTAGGAGAACGCTGTTCCTTGGTTTCGAGAATAGAGTCCCTGCTGAGTGGCTGAGCTTAGCCGCTGGGAACGCCTGAATGTACCCATTAGGTTTGTTATCACAGAAATCACGAACCAGTGAGAGCGTTTTTGATTGGTGGAAATCGCCAACAACCAACAACTGACTGCTTTCAACCAATGAAATTCGTTTTGATAGGTTCGTAATTTCTGTGAGAACATACCTAAAATCTATGGACCTAAGATCTCAACTTAATTTTTTTTGAAGTTTCAACATTTTTGTTCTAAAGACTTTGAAAAATCTTCTCTCTAATTCTATCATATAATAATATCTGACATTTTCATTGAATCTTATTCTAGTAGAGGACTCTCGAGGGGACTACCTACAATTGCTGGAAAGTTCAGCTCATTTGGAGTTCCAGAGATAAAATCCCGCTGAGGAGTGAGCAGCGAATTTTATAAATTTTCAATTTTTCCGCCGCTCTTTTTTCAAACATTTTGGCTTCAAATCCAATGCAAAGCTCAAAATACAATAGTTACAACAATGATGAGTTTGGGGGTGAACCAAGTAATCACTTAAAGACAGGTAATCTAAACATCTAACTCAATCGTCCATTCCCTTGAAAAAGTAGTATTTTTAAAAAATTGCGAAGTTTGATCTGGGAAACCCACATTTCTTTGCTACCCATATGGTGCTTGCCTGAGAAAACGTAAACACTTGATATTTAGAGGTTAAGTAATTTAAGGTGATTTGTCAGTAAAATAAGCAATAAAAACACAAAATTTGCACAGAAAAAAATACTAAATATGGATTTAACAATACTATTTAAAGCCTGCGTGAAAGCGGTAAAAGTGAGAAATAAAAATATCGGTTTGCAAGAACAAAAAACCAACATTTTACGAAAGAGCCCCAGAGACATTCACCTTACAAAAGCCAAGGAAATTGTCAGGCAAATTACCAACTTGCAAAGCTTCTTGTTGGAAAATAAAGCTGCCTATTTGAACGTTATCAACTATTTGTCGACAAATAAAACCATGACTGATATTGATAGAGAAAAAGTGGATCAAATGGCCGAAACTATTGTAAGTACTTGTTCGAGCCTTATTAGCGAATATAAAAAGGAAATTCGAGGTTTAACAAAGGGAAAACAAAAAGAAGAACATTATCAAAGTGTCATAGAGAGCCTTGAAGCCTATTTAAAAAACGTATCAAAAATTTACACTGAAGCCAAAGCCGTGAGAGTAAAACGAGTCATTGATACACATAACTTATCAAAACTAGAAACTAAACTTCCTACTAAGGAGAATTTAGAATTCTCCAAAGCAAGAAAACCTAGTATGGATGGCTCAGGAGATTTTGCAAAAGTCAAATCTGCTCCACAAACACCTTCACCAATGAATTATGATGAGCAACTTAGCCCTGAAGATATTCAAATGTTTGAACAAGAAAATGAACATCTTTATAATGAATTGAATAGTATATCTGATGAAGTAAGGATTTCACTTGGGAATTTGATTGTGTTTAAAACTTTTCAATTATTTGCAGGTTAAACAAATGGAAGGCAAAGTGGTGCACATAGCTGAACTACAAGAGCTCTTTACAGAGAAAGTTCTTCAGCAAGAAAAAGACATTGGAAGGATTTCTGATAATGTTGTAGGATCGACAGAAAATTTAAAGGATGCTAATGAACAAATAAGGCAAGCCATTCAGAGAAATGCTGGCTTGAGAGTTTATGTGTTATTTTTCTTATTAGTTATGTCTTTCAGTTTGTTGTTTTTAGATTGGTATAATGATTAGTAGGTAATAATTAGGCTGGGTAATTTTTTTAATTTGTTTGTATGGTTTATTACCTAGTATATGTATTTTAATTGTAAAATTAAATTAGGCATAGGTATTTTTATTATTAAATATAATATTATTCTGCTATTGTGATCATATAAGTACCAAGTTTTTTTTGACCTAAAATTTCAGTTACAAGAAAATGCACTTTATCTTATAACAAAGTAGCTGCAAGGCACAAATTTGGTTAAAATCTGAGTTAAGCTTAATATGTAGTGTAGGTACAACAAAATAAATAAATTAAAAAATAAAGACATATCACAGACAAAAGCGCAATAATATTGTTTGCTAAAGTATTTGAAAACCAATGACCAAACACAATTGACTAGTTGAAAATGAGTTCTGCTTGAATTGCTCTTTTTACTGGTATAGTTCTATTTCTTTGGCTAGTTTTTCTGCCTGGTATACCTTCATCTCTCTCACAAGAAGTACCAAATTTCAATGAGTTTTCAACGCCTTCCATACAATTCAAAATTGATTCTGTAGTTTTGGATCTAAAAATTGTTTGAAGCATTAATTCTGATTCTGTAGCTGTAGTTGATTTACAATTTCCTAGAAAGAAAGGCTGAAATGGATTCTTGAATAACATTTTCTCCAGGAGATTTATTATCTTATTGATTTGATTAGTAGTTTTGGACTTCTAGGTACTTGACTCCAGTTTGAATAGTTGTATTATCACTTCTCACTCAAGTCATTTTGTTTCATGTACGTGGACATTTTTATTTGATGATATTCATCATCACTGTCTCAAGTGATTATAGTCAGTATCATCAATTCACATTGCTGAAGTCTTTCATGAAGGCTCTTGGATCCCAATGAAAGAATGGATCATTTCTTGTGGATTCTGATTTGGATTGATGCATCATTTATAATTGCATGAAAAAGTGATGTTGATATTGACTATCTGAGTCTGGTTCATCTTTTGTATTTTTTAGTGTGTTGAATAAACATGAATTGTATTGCAAAGGTTGGTCCCTCTTGAATGTAACGGCATAACAAAGTCTTGCATAATCATAATTTCATTAAAAAAAAATGTGTAATATAGACAATATAGTAAGCAAAAGTGTGAAACATTTTCCTACATAAATATAGTTGTTTTTATTCAAATTCTGGAATGTCGTCAAAAGAATAACCAGGCACTTCTTTGTAGGCATAATAAGCTATGCGCACATGATAGGCACCGGGTATAAACATAATAATTCCAAGAATTATCATTGGCCACATTCTATCAGGATATTCCAGCACCAATCGTCCACTAATGGCTAATGAACCAAAAACTAGCAGACTTGTTCCAACAACTGTAAGGAAATAAATCAATAGATGATTTTCTAGGTCACAGTCCTACCTAGAAGTAGTGTGGCCAAAATAATAGCTTTCCATGGTATTGTTTGGGCCGGTACTTGGAATTGAGCATCTACAAATCCATTATCTCTGGTCGGTAGTTTGAGATATTCCTGGTTTTTCCTTCTCCTGGCTATGTCGTCGAAATATTCTATGAATACAATGAAATGTGTCTGTATTTATTGTTTGTTTGATTCAAATTAAAAAAAAAATTACCTGACATTGAGTGTAAGCTCATTATTATTGCAAAATTAACATTTATTTATAAATTTTTAAGGATGACCATACTTGGTGTAGCCTGTATATAATCTAAGGAGTAAGAAAGAAACCAGAGGTGTTGTGTTTGTTTTTGTTTACCTGTTTACCATTGATTATTGATCTTTTGATTTGATATCAAATGATTGTCATAATCTGACATTTGCTTGAATTTGGGTAGAAGAGGTGGGTTCGGCTTGCTCACTCCGTGCACTCCGAGTGACTCCATTCGCACTCTAGCCTTTCGGGTTAAGGTTCAGGTTATGCTTTTTACCGTATTAGGGGTGCCTCCATTAGCTCTGTTCACTCCACTCCAACTCCTCGCTGAATAGCCGAACCCAGCTAAGGTCGGTAGTAGGGTAAAAAAAAAACTGACAAGTGACACGAATTTTGATTATTCCCGGCGCTCGAGTGATCCTGTATCTGGCCAAAAAAGTGCCGGATCAAAATATTATACAAATGTTGGCTATTTGTGTCTGGCAAATCAAGAGCTTGGGTCAAGGACATATATAAGGGGAGGTTTTGGGGGTTCAAACCCCCCCCGTTCAACTGAATAAATTATTTAAAAAAAAATAAAATAAACGTTTTTGAGCGTGGAATCCTTCGGCGATATCCTCCGGCGACTATGCCACTGTAGGGTTGTCACCTGTCCGGGTTAGCAACAGCGTATTCCTGTTTCTCCGTCGTCGTTACCTACGGTCTCCCTCAAGAATAATACACTACTACAGGATTGCTCATCGGCCTTGATTTTTGGAATCAAGGTCATATGGTGTTGCACCGTTGGTGACATCATCAACGGTGTCGTTAACTGTTTGCGCCAGCGGTCGTAGTTTAGAATATACATTTATGATGAAAAATATTATTTAATTTTGATTAACATAATAGGCAACGAGGAATATGCAGACGAGATCTGAAAAGGGTTCTCTTAGAATGTTAATTAATGTACTAACACAAGTATGCATAAAGCAAAAGCCAGGGGAATGATAGCCTGTGGTGCAAACACCCTACGTCGAAACGAGAATCGACCCGATTGCAGTGGGGGCTTGAGATTTGATCTACACAGGCCTTATGAGGATAGGTTATCCTGTGTAGTGAGTAGTATCCTTGGATCTCCCTCTCCAACCGTCTCAACTAACTCAACTAATCCAAACTAACCCAACATCAAGCAACATCTGGAGATGCCGGAGGGGACTTGTGTATAGATATATAGTAAAGTAATGTAATGCTTTTGTTTCTCATTTTTCTTTCAATGAACGTTTTTGTTTTCCCCAGTTCAATTTATTTTCAAAGGTGGCGTCCCTAAATAATAGTTGTATTCCTTTCAAGAGTTTGAAACACTCGAGCTACTCGCTTCGGTGCTCAGTCGCCCCCGATTTACAGGGAACAGATGCGTGGTGCAACAAACACTTTTCGAAAGGAATAAGTGCGTGAAGCCCCGGAGCTGTTCCGGAGCTCCTCCTAGGTGTGAAAAGAATACAACTTATGCCAGGTACATCGTCTGAGCGTCTAAGGTCTGAGCCGCTTTCCAGTATGGGAGTGTGACGCCCGGAGCTACTCGGGGCGTCGAGCTCCCGAGCTGTACGTACGCGTCAACCTATCAGCTGTCACATCCGTGGGTGGCTATTTATCTATTTATTTCTTGTTATATCTCAAGATTGAACATTTTAAAATATATAGTTTTGATTCTCTTTCATTTTTGATAAATAAAAAAACAAACTGCACAAACAAACAGATAATTATTTTTAAAATTTGACATATTTGACACAGACTCACGCCATGATACTGGAACGGTACAAATCTAGTGCGTGGCGCCCCCGAGGTGCTCTAGAGCGCGCCAATGTGCATACTGGAAAGCGGCTATGATCTAAAATTGAAACCCTTCCCAGAGCACGAGCCGCCACTGCTCTATAAAACCCCCTCCCCATGAAAAAGCTATAGCTGTACGTCGTTGGCTTGGGTATATAATATATCTAGTAGGAGACAAACGCATAAAGAATTCAATGATTGAAACGACAAATATCAAGTAGGATAAGAGAAAGTGACACGAATTATGATTATTCCCAACGCTTGAGTGGATGAGTGGTTGTATCAAGAGTTCTGCTTGTTATCCTCCACTAGTTCACAATTATTTACACTTTTCTGCACTGAGGCGTTTGTTATACGGTTAGTGCAAATAGTGGAAAGCGTTTGTTATTTCAGTGTAAATAGGGAGCCCAATCTTGCACTACCTACTCCTGCTCAAGAGGAGGTGTAACAAGTGCAGAATGGGGAGGGGGCAATAGTATTCAAAAATTACTCCAATGAAGGTGTTTTCAGGGTTGGAAGATAGGAAATCTCCATCTTCCTTTATAATTTGCGTCAATAAAACCTTGTAAATTTTGTTCTTTTCATTAATATTATACATTTTATTCGCACTAAAGCGTTTAGGTTGTTTTCCTTCAACCTAAGGCGTTTTCTCGCGTCCACTTTTTTGAAACTGGTTCAAAACTGGAGTACGTTTAGAAATGGAGTGTGAGGGTTGAGTAGTTGTTTGTCAGAGTGTTCTGACGTCATCACTTGGAGTGCACTCTAGGTGCGCTATTTCTGAACGTATTGGGGCGTTGTGGTAAATGTCAACGTCAAACTCGGTAAAAACCACGAGTGCGTTCAAAGACGGCAATGCTAATGCCAAAACCTACTATTCCCCTTCTACCGGCGATGCCAAATCTGGTGTGAATTCGCTGGAACGCCAAATACCGTTTCTCAATAAGCAATCCAAACCACGTGACATTCAATATAGCATGGCGACCATACATGGACCAAAAAACACAAAAAATCTCTAGTGTCTGCCCGAATTAATAGTTTAGGTAATTAGTTAACAAATATTTTATTGAATAATCAAAATCGAAGCTGCAAACAAACAAAATAATTGAAATATGCATGAATCACATAATCAAAACTAACTTGCTGGTCGCTACGCCATATTGAATGTGGTCTCATCCAATCAAAATGCGTATAACCATTTCTAGACTCAGTTGAAAGAGCCTCCAAAGGTTACTTTACCGCGGCCTATTTGGAACGTGTAAAGCCAACCGTTTTTGGCACGCTGGAGCCGAACTTGAACGCAATATGCCAATTTTGGACGCAGCCCGGGGCGTTTTTCAACCCAGAGTAGGGTAATTTGGGCCTACTCTGGGCGCGTCAACTCTCGATTTCTGAACGATTCCAGCGTTAACGCTCCGAGTAAGCACCTGAAAATTTATGAACGGTTCAGAGTTACTCTAGAGTCACCCTCACACCCAGAGTGCTATATCTAAACGCAACCCTGTTTTGAAACAGTAAAGTCTGTTTTTTTTTCAAAGATAAAAGTCACAATGACAGTTGGCAATACAATGTAAAATTGTAAATGTCAAAATTGGTTTAAACCATTTCGAAATACAATCCAATCCACGTTTTCAATTATAGAGGAAGATGGCGATTCCTCCATCCTCCACTAGTGGACAATTATTTACACTCTTCTGCACCGAGGCATTTGTTATACGGTTAGTGCAAATAGTGTAAGGCGTTTGTTATTTCAGTGTAAAATAGGGTGCCCAATCTTGCACTACCTACTCCTGTTCAAGAGGAGGTGTAACAAGTGCAGAATGGGGAGGGGGCAATAGTATTTAAAAACTATTCCAATGAAGGTATTTTCAGGGTTGGAAGATAGGGAATCTCCATCTTCCTCTATAATTTCGTCAATAAAACCTTGTAAATTTTGTTCTTTTCATTAATATTATACATTTTTTCCGCACTAAAGCGTTTGGGTAGTTTTCCTTTAACCTGAGGCGTTTTCTCGCGTCCACTTTTTTGAAACTGGTTCAAAACTGGAGTACGTTTAGAAATGGAGTGTGAGGGTTGAGTAGTTGTTTGTCAGAGTGTTCTGACGTCATCACTTGGAGTGCACTCTACGTGCGCTATTTCTGAACGTATTGGGGCGTTGTGGTAAATGTCAACGTCAAACTCGGTAAAAACCACGGGGCGTTTTTCAACCCAGACCCTGGGGCGAGTTCAGAAATAACACACCGGGTGTGAGTGCGATTTTATGGGTGTGAGTGCGATTTTATGGGTGTGACTGAAATGACAATTCTTAGGCGACAACTTTTGTATGAATTTCTGAACGCTTCGTGTGACCAATCGAGCATCTCCTCAAAAATTTCACCAAAAGTATTAAGATTACTTTTTTTTGTTCTTCATTTTTTTAATTTGAAGAAAAAACTTCTTTCTAATTTGTGTTTTGTTTATATTTGGTGGGAATAATGAGATTATGGGAGGAATGGTTGACATTGTTGACATAAAGACACAATCACACCGCAGCCACATCAAAAAATTATGGTGTGACCGAGGCGACACCTGGAGCGCGCCCGAAGTACTTTCTGAACGGAACAGAGTGCGCACGGTGGGTCTATACCGTGCGTTCGTTATTTTGGTCTGAGTTCTCCGAGCTTGACTTTACCGTTCGTTTATTTGAAAAGTGTACACGGTGCAGCCTCATTCGCGTTCGTTTATTAAAATTTCTGACACTTTTATTCAGCGTTCAACTGCTCTGTTCGCTCGCTGGTCACGTGATTACGTCTCCGCTCAGCACGCTCTGCTCTTTGAGCAAAATACCGAACGCAAGGATAGCATTTATGAACATCTAGTGCGTCGCACCGGTGTCACACTCACACTGAGTGTGTCATTCCTGAACTCGCCCCTGAGTAGGGTAATTTGGGCATACTCTGGGCGCGTCAACTCTCGATTTCTGAACGATTCCAGCGTAACGCTCCGAGTAAGCACCTGGTAATTTATGAACGGTTCAGAGTTACTCTAAATCACCCTCACACCCAGAGTGCTATATCTTAACGCAACCCTGTTTTGAAACAGTAAAGTCTGTTTTTTTTTTCAAAGATAAAAGTCACAATGACAGCAATACAATGTAAAATTGTAAATGTCAAAATTGGTTCAAACCATACAATCCAATCCACGTTTTGAAACCATTTTCTTGCGCCGAAAAATTATCATACAATCAAGGTCCTTATTCTTGAAACAGGGGAGAAGCGGAACACTCGTTCTCCCTGGGTAACGGTGCTCCCTGTTCCAAGAATAAGGACCCTGATTGTATGATCGGAGTCGGATCGGAAGAATGCATGATAGATGTGTCCCGGGATTTAGGGCGGGTATTATAAAACTATTTTGAAAGTTAACTTGAAGTTAACTTCTGGAATTACATGTAATTCAAAAAGTTAACTTCAAGTTAACTGTCAAAGCAGTTTTATAATACCCGCCCTTATACGTATGGAAAAATCGAAAAATAGCTATTTTGACAATCCGATACGAATTTCGACTCGACTCGTAGAATAGAATCCGGCCTCAGTTTTGAAACATTTGAGACGCGAGAAAAAACCTCTGGCGCCCAACAGCTACACCAGCAGTCTGCACTGACCAATGAATTGCACTGACCTATCCTACACGTAAATAACAAACAAACAGACCTAGGCTGCGTTCAGGAATGGCTACAGCCAAGCCAAAATTGGCATTTTGCGTTCGAGTTCGGCTCCAGCCTACGTGGTTCGGCATTACAGGTGGAGGGGGAAAAACAAGTTTTGGCATTAGCAATAGTTGTATTCCTTTCACACCTAGGAGGAGCTCCGGGGCTTCACGCGCTTATTCCTTTCGAAAAGTGTTTGTTGCACCACGCATCTATTCCCTGCAAATCGGGGGCTACTAAACACCGGAGCGACTAGCTCGAGTGTTTCAAACTCTTGAAAGGAATACAACTATTGCCTTCCTTGAACGCACCCCTGAAGTCTTGTATCTGGCCAATCAAATCAACTTCCCGGAATAGAAAGAAATGGTATGCAAAATTCAATGAGTAAGAAAGAGACAGATATGGAATGGGAATAACCGTGCGTTCGTTATTTTGGTCTGAGTTCTCCGAGCTTGACTTTACCGTTCGTTTATTTGAAAAGTGTACACGGTGCAGCCTCATTCGCGTTCGTTTATTAAAATTTCTGACACTTTTATATAGCGTTCAACTGCTCTGTTCGCTCGCTGGTCACGTGATTACGGCTCCGCTCAGCACGCTCTGCTCTTTGAGCAAAATACCGAACGCAAGGTTAATATATCATACAAATTTTGGGTATTTGAGTTTAATATTCAGTTTTCGAGTTCTAATAAAGTACTAGAGGTGTTTTTTCGCGTCCACTTTTTTGAAACTGGTTCAAAACTGTTTTGAAACAGTACATTCTCGCGATAAACCCATGACGTCACGTCAAGATCTACTTTTTCAAACCATTTTATCGCGCCGAGAAATTATGACGTCATGGTGACATTACTTACACCAGTTTTGAATTTTTTTTTGAAACATTTGAGACGCGAGAAAACGCCTTTGATTATGCCAAACAATAAAAAAAAATAGTCAAATCCATAAAAGCTAAAACAGAAATATGGCAACACTGCCTTTGTTTACTAATTTTTTTCAATTGTAGGTTATGTTCTGATTGTCACATCCTGACAGATGAGGTAATCCATAAACTAATCCAGAAAGGCACAATCGCAAATTAATTGTGCCTCGACCTCGAATTTTCCAGTATTTCCACATTCCCAAGTAGATTATGGCAACTTGACGCAGCCGAAAATCAACCAGCTTTTGAACCAGTCCGTTACATAAACCGGTCAAATTACTGGGAAGTTTTCGTCGGAACATTGAAGGCCAAATTGTTTGCGAACAAAACAAGCAGGAACGATGAAGTTTTTCGAGAATTCTACAGTTTTTAATTACAGTTGGGAGCAAGTCGCCCAAGGATTTTGGAGGAGATACCCTAATCCCCATAGGTAAGAACTTCCGGGTTCCTTAAAGATAAATTCATCAATAGAACTTGGTTATAAATCAATAGGAAATAAACATGTTATCCTTTGATTGATTTTAATAGATGTAGCTAAAAATAACTTGAAAATTTCTGTTGTTATCTAATCTAGTGCCCTTTTATAAAAATTCAAAATCCCAATAAAGAACTTATGTATTTAGTCATAGGTTTTTATTTACAGCTCTTAATAAACAATCAAGTTTAATAAATATATCTAATATATGCAGACCTTGAACATAGAATAACAATTATTGTTTGTTATTCTATGCCTATTGACCTGTGAATTATATTTTTTTCTTTTAGTAAACATGTCTTAAGTGAAGACACAATCTCTCGCGAAGTCAAATCCGGAAAGCTGATCACAAAACGTATCCTTAGCAAGACCAACAACATTCCAAAATGGGCCAAAAAATTCATCAACACTACTTACGTTTACATAATTGAAGAGAGTATAGTTGATCCAAAAAACAAATCCTTGGTAACTTATACAAGGAATTTAGGTTTTACTAAAGTCATGGTAAGAATCTCTCAAGCATTGTAACCAAAATATTCATCAATAATTTCTACAGAGTGTCACAGAAAAAGTTGTCTACAAACAAAGCGAAGAAAATCCATCTAAAACAGTTGTATCTCGCTATGCCTGGATCGACTCTCAAGTTAAAGGGTTCAGTAGGGCTATTTGTGCGTTTGGTTACGAAAGGTAAAATAAACTAAATTAAATTGAAAGAGAATAATTATTTTTTTCAATAGATTCAAAAAAAACGCAAACGTCATGATAGGAGGATTTAACTATGTGCTGCAAAACATGTACCCACACCAGAACGTGATTCATAGTGTGACCAGCACAACAGCCAATAAAATCAAAGATGCAGCTAAAAACGCTTCTGAACTTGCCAAAAGCAAAGCAGCTCCGATATATGCATCCCTTCATCCAAATCAGTCTTAAAAATAAAAGTTTTTGGGTAGTAAGTAATTTTTGTATGATTGGTAGGTATAAGTAAATAGTATACCCTTCCATTGAGGTTTTGGAAAAATCCTGACTGAATAAAAAAAACCATTCCACCTGTGAGTGTGTATTGAGTAACTGCTTGAAACAACTTTTCCCTTCACTCTAAAAATATAACTAAATTTTATCAGCTTATGATTGACTTTAAGTATAATTTACAATAAACAATGTTTTGGTAATTTTATCATTATTATTTTGATTGTGGAACTTATGTTTCATTAATTTCTAGTTTGATTCACATGTATAATTATTTGTAATTTTTTTTGTGACTTCAATAAACTATACATCTTAAACTAATAATAATCGTTAGGTTTTGTTTTAAAGGATAGGGTTTATGATTATTATTATTGTCAAGTAATCTAGAGTTAATCTTTTTTGTAAAATAACTATTATAATTTGTATATAATAAAAAATATATTATCTATGTTGTAAATTTAGTGTATCTATTGCTCCATCTTTTCTTTCCCTTACTTTCCTATTTTTATGAAATGAGATCATGGAATTTTTTAAGTCAAATTTACAAGAATAAATGTGAAATTTCTTTGTTTTAGTGCAAAATATGCAAAAATTATTTGAATGAATAAAATTTGTGAATGTCTTCAAATAGAGTGGATTAAGTTTAAAGAAAATTCAACTGGATTTGATTTTTTTATTCAAGACCCATTGCGAAAAAAAAATTGATATTTTGAGGATTTATTGACAAGGGTTTGAGGTATATCATACTAAAAAATCAAATTATTTGAGCCTCAAATGAGAAAGTTGTGAAAGAAAAAAATTGAAACAATTTTGAATTGTTTGTATGCTAAAAAATCAATACCTACCTACATATTCTAATCCAATACAAACACAAACCCTTTATGTAATGTTTGCAGCATTAAAAAAATATATAGATAATCAAACCTTTGCTGTATAAACTGACAAAAATGGCTTTAACATGGGAAGACAAAGAAGTTAGCTTCGATGTCCCGTATTCGTAAGCATCAACCTCTTAATAAAACAATTCTTGTCTAATTCATTTTTTTTTTGCACAGGGAAATGCGTTTAAGACTAGGAGAAAAAGTCATAGACAAACTAGATAACATTGAGGACACAAAGGGCAATGCCGGAGATCGCGGAAGGCTTATAATTACAAATTTAAGGCTTCTTTGGCATTCTATGACTAGTCCTAGAGTAAATCTGTGTAAGATTATCGAAAATCTCCAACTAAACAAATTTATCTTTATATTTTCAGCCATCGGTTTCAACACAATTGTATCGATAAATACCAAAATTGTAAATTCGGTAATTATAAAATTATATATTTTTTTTTTTTTTAATTAAAATTAATAATTTTTTAGAAAGTTAAAGGCACCACCCAAGCACTACACTTATTAACAATATCCAATGGTACCAGATATGAATTTGTATTCACAAACCAAGTACAAGGAAATATGCGTCACTTTACTTCTGTAGTTGGAGTACACAAGTAAATTTTAGTTTTAAGTAGTAGAAAATTTTAAAGCGCAAACAATTTTAGGGCTTACATAACTTCAAAACTCTACAGAGAATTGAAACTCCGTGGGGGAGTTGTCCATAATAAAAAACTAAAAATCCTACCCCAGGAACAAGTAGTTTCCAGTATGCATGGAGTGTGGAACTTGTCCAGCGACCAAGGCAGTTTGGGGACTTTTGTTGTTACCAATATTAGATGTGTTTGGTTTGCTGATATTAACGAAGGTTTTAATATTTCTCTGCCATATTTGCAAGTTGACTCAGTAATGGCCGCATTATTGCAATAAGAAAGCAAATTTAACTAAGTATTTTTTAGATTCGTATAAGAGACTCAAAATTCGGAAAAGCATTGGTGATAAAAAGTACAGAACGCAGTGGCAATTTTATTTTAGGCTTTAAAGTGGATTCCGAAGATAAACTAACCACTTTGTATAAAGAGTTGACTTCATTACATACAGTATTCCTTAATAATCCTATTTTTGGAGTTGAATACAAGTTGAACACGAAAATCAATGAGGTGGAGCATAAAAATGATCTATTGGATGATTTAGAGGTGCATTTATTGTTACAAATTTTATAATTATTTGAAGAATGCTTTGCAGGTTGTTGAGGATCCAAAAAATGAAATCGGAAATACATTGGCAGCTTATTTAGCTGACGAGGGACACAAAAAAGACAGACCTCCGGTTTATTGCAAGGAATTGGGGTTGGCTATTGAATCCATCAAAGAAGGGTACACTTTGAAGAAACTTTGGGAAGTTATTCCATCAAATTGAGAAGTGATTGTGTAAATTAAAAGGGTTTTAATTGAATCTTTGTTGTTTTTACCCATATATTCTACATTTCATTCAAATTTGCTTGCCATCCCTAGCAATCGCATGTTGGTAGAAATATTGCACATTTAGTTTTCGAAAATCGTATAAAATAAATCAGATATGAGTTTCCAAACTTTATTAGCAATTTTATCTTTGAAATTGTGAAAGTACATAGTTTAAAATCATACTACTTATTACTTATTATCCAACACTCTCTGAAAGTCTCAGGTAATCAGTATAAGTTGGGCGTTAGAAATTATAGGATTTTGCTTTGCCATAGGTACATGGAATTTCGTTGTTGTTAACCCGTCAAAAATTGACACCCTATTGAAATGTGACAAAATCTCGTCACTCACTTTATTCATCTACTTGAAAAAAAAAAAAATATGAACGACTTCCTAAGGTTTTTCACAGCCTCCAGGAAAAAAATAATTAGTTTAAGGAGAAATTTAAACACCAGTGCCCTCAGATTAGGTTTTTTAGATTGCTCGCCTAATGCCCAGTTGGATAAAAATATCGCTGAGAGGTAAATAACAATATTTACATATCCCAAATTTAAAATATCCCATATAGATTTAGGTGTTTGCCTATACCAGAACCAAAAACTATAGTTTCCTACGTATGGATCGATGGTACTGGACTTGATTTAAGAATGCGAACTATGACTTTAAATGTTGTACCATCCTCTCATAAAGAGTGTCCTATTTGGAGTTTCGATGGCAAAAGCGCAAATTTTTGTAAGATTTCGTGCAACTACAATTTAAACAAATCCATACTTATTATGCCTTTGTAGCTAGCAAAGACAAAACAGAAAATTATATGGTACCAATAGCTATGTACTCTGATCCTTTCAGAAGAGGCGAGTTGGTGTCTTTATTTATATTCCTGCTTAAATGAAAGAGTTTTTAGGTAACAACAAAATTGTTCTTTGTGAAACCTTCACCCAAGACAAAAAACCTACAAAGAAAAACTTTAGGCAGGCTTGTGTGGAAGTCTTGAACAGAGTGTGCGACCATGATATTTTGATTGGGTTCGAACAAGAATTTTATCTTAAAGGTCCAGATGGGAAACCTTATGGATGGCCTTGTGGGGCTATTCCAAGACACGATGGTATGGAATATTTTACTAAACTAACATACAATACAAATTGGTTTCAGGTAAAGGTTATGCAGCTATTGGATCACATCGAATTATTGGAAGAGATATTGCAGAAAGTGTTTATCGATGTAGCCTTTATGCAGGAATAGATATATTTGGAGCACATGCAGAGGTAAAAACAACAGTACCTATACATAATTAAAAAATGGAAATATGTAATTCTAAATATTTTAAGAGAGGATTTTCTCAATGGGAAGTTTTGACTGGACCAACTTCCAGTATGAAGGCAGCTGATGACTTATGGATTTTAAGATATATTATTCTAATGGTGGCTGAATTATTTGGCATAGCAGCTTCTTTTAAGACGAAATTTGTTAAACATGGTGCACCTTCAGGTATGCTTTCAAGGTCTTAGATACTATTTTTCAATTATTTTGTCTTTATTGCAAGGTTTGCATACAACAATGACAACCAAAGGAACTAGACAGGAAGGAGGATATAAAGCAATACAAGATATTATGTGCAAATTGGAAAAAACTCACTCAACAGATATAAATTCGTTCGATTGTGCCGAAGGTAAGTAACTACTAAATTAGTTATTTCCATAATATATCAATATATATTTAAGGAAAATGCATCAAAGAGAGACTAACTGGAGAATATCACACTAGCAAATTTGAAAAATTCACCTATGGTGTGGGCGACAGAACTGCTTCTGTAAGAATACCTATTGTAGTAGCTGACAAGAAAAAAGGTTTTTTTGAAGACAGGCGTCCTTGCAGTTGTGCAGACCCATATAGAGTTATTAAAACATTAGTTAATTCTTCTCTCTGTTAAAAAAAAAAGCAAAATATATTCGATTAAATTGAATCTAATATGAAAACAATAATTGCATTAGACATAAATATATATATATATATATTTTTTTTTCTCTAAAATGTAATGTGTATTTATTTTTTATAAACAATTCCTGATCCCCTTTTAGCGACTGACTTTCCACTGAGTATCACTCTTTTCCTAGACTTTACATTCCAAGGTTCTAAATCAACACTGAATAGGGCCTATTAATAATTTGCTCAAAACAAAACAAAAAAAATACTTACTGCATATTGGTTGTCTCTACTTTGCCATTTGTCTCGGTAAACTTTTGCCAGAATCGTTCGCTTTGTTTTTCAGTGAAAACATTTAAAAATAATTCATCATTATTTGTATTTAATACATTGGCATCAAATTTTTCTGTCTTCAAGTCGCCTTAAAATGTAACAGCAATTTCAAGACTAAAGAGGAAAGTTACTTTATTCAAAACTTAAGTTACCTCTTGAAATTTCTCCCTTTTCCATTCTAAACTCCTCCAATTCCCTATCTTTTTTCTGTACCAAATTAAGTAACATTTTCTGTTGTTTTTCCAAAAAATAAATTGTTTTTATAGCTGAAACAACTATTTTATCTTTAAATTGTTCCTGTTCTTTTTTGTTTAAGGTAAATTTATAAATAATTTTTGACGATTTTACTGATTCACCGAAACCACAACAGTTTTGTTCTAAAACTAATTCAATATTATCACCAGTTGATTTTACAGAAGTATTAACATCTTGTATATTGTTGATGATTTCTATGAAATCACTGACGATTTGTTCATCTCCAGCGGCAATTAAGGGATTATACTCCTAGAAAACAAAAACATTGTCCATTATTAATTATTTCAGTAAAATGATAGGTACAGAGCGAGGGGTCAACCACTTCCCGAAATACGTGTACATTTGGCCCGAATTACCTCCGAAATACTTCGAAGTACCTAGAAATACCTTGAAGTATCTCGAAATACCAGGTATTTCCGTCGAAGTACGCGAAATCCCATGGAATTACCGTCGAATTACACGAAATACCCTCGAATTACCATGCGAAATCCCGCAATACTTCTAAAAAATTTATCGTTGACAACGATTCTTCTTGCAGATCGCAGGGAAGTATTTTTGCTCGGATTTTTGGGTCTTTTGATATGATGGATTTTATTTGGACACACAGGATAGACAATTAAATCAATAGTTAGTGATGCAAGTGACTGTTAGTTCTACAATGCTGTTAGGTACAGGATCATCCAACAAGGACTGAACAGGGGCAATTTTTGACTTTCCCTGTATTTTTAAGAAAATCCAAAATAGCCAATTGGAATATTTTTTTTCTGGAGAATTCAAAAATGGTACCAAAAATCGATTGAACCAAAAACCAAAGTTACGCCATGGATGAACTGTTTCTTAAATAGAACGTCGTCTTTTTTTGTATGATTTTTGGAAAAGTCTCATTTTTCACGTTTATGCTTGATCATTTTAGCTAGACCTATTGAATTTAATTGGTTCATAGGTGATAAAGGTATAATCTTTGAATTTTGTTGCCATGTATCAAACAGGTAAAGCCTAAATTAATAAGAATAAAACATTAAAATAAAATAAAAACAGCTATCGGAATATCAAATATTTTCAACAGAATAGATGTAAAAAAATTCGACTTCTCCAAAAATCATACAAAAAACAGGGCGTTCCATTTAAAAAACAGCTCATCCATGGCGTAAGTAACGCTTTGGTTTTTGGTTCAAAGGACTTTTTGGTACCATTTTTGAGTTCTCCAGAGAAAAAATTTCCAATTGGCTATTTTGAATTTTCTCAAAAATACAGGGAAAATCAAAAATAATCCTCTGTTCAGTCATCGTTGGATGACTCTGTACTATTAACTAACTGACATTGATTACTAATACATATCAGATTTATTGCATCCATTTGTTTCAATTAATCTGCAGTAAATTCAAAGTATGTCAACAGTCTCCAGAATAAAAAGACAACAGTTTCCAGAATAAAAAGACAACACAAAGTTAGATAATACCGTGGCTTAGAAACAGAGGACGACGCGGAATTACGAGGCTTGGCTCCACACAAGTATCTACTTAATTGCCCTTTTCTGTAGTAGGAACACTAAATTAGAGAGATAGTCAGAACAAGAAGCTCAGAAGCAAACCCTGTATCGAAAATGAGACTCAATAATTGCGATGGAGAAATTTAGGTTATTATTAATAACTCTCAGGGCATTGCAACCAGAAGAAATTTTGTCACATACTTTCGCAGTATGGTCCTGTCTATTGACAGACCTAAGATTTATTGAAGATTGACATAGTGATGGGTTTATTTTCCATGTAAATATCTTCAGTAGCACGTAGCACGTCTAAAATTGAGGATTTTGGTCTTAGAGACATTTCATGTCAAAGAATTAGCGTCCGACCAACCTTTTATTTTAAGCAGATCCGTTTTCATATTGGCCTCCAATTTACCAATATCAGAATCATGCCACAGGATAGTGGTATCGTCTGCGTATAACTGTTATCTGGAGTTGTGGTAAATAATTAACATAATTGAGGAACAGCATTTTGTGGCTCACACAGTCAAAAGCCTTTGAGAAATCACAGAACACTGTCGCCAACTGATTTTTGATAAAAATTTAAATAACCCCCTAAAAATAAGTACTAATGACATTCATCATTCATAGAGCCACAGATTATTTGGTGATTGTACTGGAAAGTTGCCCGAAAAGGGAAAACCACTTAAAAGAGCTGTCAAAAAATTTGACATCTGGCTACTTATGCAAGGTTTATCGCTCTCTTTGAGTCCCACTAATAGAAAAGTGATTTATAAATTCTTAAATAGAACATTCACTGGATTCATCCCCGCCACTTTTTATTTTAGTTCGTGACTACACCGCTGTGCGCCCATATCGCCGTTTCTTAACGTCTCCCTCGTTCTTATTCTAATCTCTGACTTCACCAATGAGTTAGCTATCTTTGTTTAGTGAATAGAAAATGACAATGACCGACATAGAATCGTCATGTATATAAAAACCAGTCATAAAAACGCAGGTATCCATTTAACATCATAATGCAAATGTCATCTTGTCATCTGAATTAATTTGTTGAGTGCATTGTCGATGATTGTGTTGAATTCCAAGACTGTGAAAGAAATGATAAGTGCATCATCATAAGCAGCCGGTTTAAGAGTTGTTGCCACAGTGCGTGACCAGGCGGCAAAAAATGAATAGGCCAAAAGCGAATTGCAACCACAGACCAGGGAAATCTACATCAAAAACAACACAGAAGCAGAAATTTTGGTTTCGTTGGAAATAAACAACCTAGAAATCGTATCACTGTATGATGCTTCATACATGCTCGAGGGAATTATAAATAACTTGATCAACTATGACAGCCTTTTAACTGGAAAAAAATGGACATTTTCTCAAAAAGCAGATTGGAAAGTGCTCCAGTCAGCTCATGAGTCAGATACGCCAGATCATCTATGAATAGATTATAAACTATTTTATTCTTTGAGTGATTCTCACATAAATATATGAAAATAAAATGTATAAAATTTTAGTTTATGAAGTTTTGAAGCACTGCCTTATTTTGAAATAATTGGAATGTCAAACCAGTCATTTAAAACCGAGATTCAAACGGCCCGCCAAATATTAGTTCAATGACTACACCGCTATGGCAGCACCGTCGGAAATGTCACTTGGCGACTACAACAGAAGTGAGCGTTCTATATCACTTTTCTATGGTCCTACTTGAGATCAGGACTTGTGTTCTGGGAATATGCAACAAATATGTGACCTAACTCTGTTTTCATTTTACAAAAAAAGCAGTCCGAATAATTTCAAATGCTGATCGGCTAGCTCACTGCAAAGCACTGTTTCAAGGGTTGCTGATTCTTATATGTATGATTTAATAATCTTTGAAAGCGTAATTTATTTGCAAAATAAGTCTTCAACAGAAGTATACAATATGCATAGTCGTAAAATTTCAAATAGATTAAGGTTAAGGTTTAAGTTTATCCCAGTCTCAGATGAAAGTTACCGAAGTTTCCCATTCAGATAGGTATAATGCAATACCCCATAATATTAGACAACTGCTAATTGGGCAATTTAAGAAAAGAATAAGGGATCTGTTTCCTCTGCTAATTATTCTTTCGATGAAAATTCACATAATTTTGTACCAAAGCTACTTACTCTACCATGATTACCTGAGATATTTCCTGCTCTCTTCTTTTTCTTTTTTTTTTTTTTTAAATTGTACCTGCAAGTTTGGCTTGAATATTTGTAGCATTGTGGTCTTATCTGTATTGGATATGTACTGATAGTTTTGCTGTATGAATTTACTTTTTTCTATTAGGTAACTAAGTACAGAGTATATTTTATATTTTGATATTACACTGGAACCACTAATTTGGTACCTAACTGTTACATTTTATGTAAGCTTAATATTCCTGCTGGGCTGTCAATGTATTTATCAATCATATTATTGTATCATTAGGTATGATTTGTGATCAATGCCATTATGGCTGCCCTGTACTTTTTCTGTACTGATCAATGAATTTGAGTATAAGTCTACCGCATCTTAACCCACCCTGATTAGTTTCACAGCCAAATGGGACACTCCTTTGTGGTCAGACAAAAACAACTCCAATTCGCCTAACGCATAGACTCAAACCTATCATTGAAATCAGCAAAAGGAGAGCTATCTTTTGAAAGAATGGATGTTTGTTTTATAACTTAAAAACTATCACTTCTAGAGAACAACTGACTATGCTACTAAAACCTATGCAGAAATATCTAGAAGAACCTATTTTCACCTTTTTGATCACCTATGAGAGAGCCGAGATACAAGGGGTGTCCCAAAATGCAACATTTCACAAAAAATCTTGTATCTGAGGAAAATCTTTCTAACTCCAATAGCAACCAAGTTATCTGTCATGTACAAACAAAATGAGACACCCTGTACAACCAGAACGGGATACCCTGTGTATAACCAAAATGGGACACCCTGTATAACCAAAATGGGACACCCTGTACAACCAAAATGGGACACCCTGTACTTTCTACGAGAAAAGTTACTGAAAAAATTCAATTAGGTACCTATTTGCAGCTTTTGATCGCCTTTACAACAACAGTAGTTTTGAAGAATACCACAAAATAAAGTTTGAAATTACCTTAAAAGAATTCACCAAGTTCAGAGTTGAAAATTCACTTTCCCAAAGGCACGAGATATTGGTTAACAGCAAAATAAAATCAACATCATTTTTTTCCAACTTAATCATGAAAACATTTTCAATATCAACAAAGGTTTTCCACATTTTCCTAATTTATAATAATAGAGAATAATAATTAAAAAAAAAAGAATAATGTTTATTTTTCCTTAAAAAGTAAAAATATTTGAATTTTGTGATGTGAGGTTAAGTCAATATAAAAATGTAATCTTCTTTTTTTCCAAAAAAACCTATAGGGAATTATATTAGTAGAACCAGTACAGAAAAAATCTATTTTCATCTCTTTCTTATACAAGCTGATAGAAAAAGATACGAATACCCTCAGTGAGCACTAGCCCAGCCCTCCCAATGAAGTTCGCTTTAGAGCCAAGGGCAATCTAATCAAAATGGCGACCGATGCCAGGTGATAAGCAATGAAATTGGCGCGATGAAGTTAAATTCAAACAATCGCGACATTTTCTTATCAAAACACTGTTTTTGGTGTATTTTGTGGTGTTTCAGGTTGTTTTCTTTAGTGCTTGGTAGGATAATGTGCGTATTTTCAGATGGAGAGTTTTTATTTCAAGAAGTTATTAGTGGAAAACCCGGATGCTAGCAATTAGGTACCTTCTGGCAAAAGGTATAATATCTTGGTGACAAATCTTTTCCTACTAAACAATAAAGTAGGTACTATACAGAATTTGTTTCCTGTTTAGTTTTTTCTTAACCAAATCCTGAATCCTGATGTTTATTTTATTTGTCTGCTATTCAAGGTATCGACACACAAGTTGAGGATAGTGAATGACTTGGATCCATACCACATTTATGTGGAGAGACTTTTTGGTTTTTTAATATGGATTTCGTCAGATTTTTTCTCTTTTGCTACAATCCACGAAGCCCTAAAAAGTTCAGACAAATCATTTTTTTCTCTTAAAAACCTTTTTTGTCTCTGCAGGAACGGCATGAAACGAGACTTTCTTGCGATTAGACCGGCTCCCACAACTAAGTACAATACATTAATGAATACATTTACCAAAAAAATTAACACTCTTTGTCTTTATAGACTACACAAATATCGCAATAAAAGGTAGTGTATATGGCATTGGCCTCCATTTTGAATTTCTTTTTGACAGGTCGTTGGATTTCCGAATGCCCTACTTCCCTTAAGGTAGGTACAGACTAATGTTAGGTGGCACTGTCATCCCTAATACGAGTTTACCAGTATATCAAAGGCCGAGTTCGTTTTTGTCATCTTTTTCATCGATTTCCTCCGAACTTTTGACAGGCACGTGACTGGATGAGACAGTTTCAAGTTAAAAATCACGTGCCTGTCAAAATTTGGGAGGAAATCGACGAAAAAGATGACAAAAACGAACTCGGCCAAAGTTTCCAATTTAAGCTGGATTTTATTTGAAGACACTCCTGATAAAAGAACTGCTTTCAAGTTCACCTTAAAATTAAGGGTACCTTAGCTAAGTCTTGATCTTAAAGTAACATTTAATCACCGGCCCTCGACTTTGCTACAGATTCACAGCACTTTATCAAGCCCTGATCAAATTCTCTTAGCTTCTTTATTGCTAATTCAATAATTTAATTCCATAAATAGCCTTCAACCAACTGCCAATCAAATATATTTTTCAAACAAAATAATAATCATTGATATAAACCTTTTTTTTTAATTAAATACAAAAAAACAAATTACTAAAATACTCTATCCAAACACCATTTTAACCCAGTTCTGAAGGTTTAACATCACTTGTATCAGCCCCCTTCTGTGTAGTTTTCTGCAGCAAATTCTCACTAAACCATTGAGGCCTGGGCTTTGGCATTTCCACTATCCTTTTACCTTTCCAATACTCTTGCGGTTGATTGTCTTTTTCTCCTTCGTACATTACAACAACTTCTTGTTCAACAGGCTCCAGTTTAAGCTCTTTTTGAATTGCCTCTTGCATCAATTTGGTTTCGTCTATAACTTTTTTGTAGCAAGTAGCTGAAAACAATTATCACTAGTTTAGGAATATTTGGTATATAATGTATTTACGGCATAAGACTCCTGCTTCGTGATCGTCTCCGCAACTATTACAAGTTCTAATATCCTTCCTTGGAAGTAGAATTTTCAAATCATAATCTGGGTTGCCGAATTTCCTTTTCCAACGTTTCTCTATGCTTCTCCTATGTTTAGGGACAGCGAATAGAAAGCCGTCACCCAAAATTTCCTCTAAAATACCTTTTTTCTGTGGTAAATTCCCATTTTCCTGGGGCAAATAATCCAAACATAACCTAAAATCGCCTGTCAAAAATAGGGTTATAGATAGAGGAGTGTCAGAGGGCAAAGCGTGTAGTTGTTATGTAATAAGAAGTAGTGCGGTTTACCTGGAGGATATCTGCCAGTTAGGGCCCCAAAAAGAGCCCTTTCGAAGCCCTGGAAGGCACTGTTTAACCGAAAAATTAAGGTAGATAAAGACATTTGTTTTTTTTTTGGGGGAAATCCTTCTGTCAGCTGATGATTTGACTGTGGGAGTTCGTTGCGATTGGATAGAAGAGAAGAGTGAAGTGAATGTTTTTGGTATGAGTGGGGATGAAAAATGTGGTGGTAGTTTTTGTCTTTTGAGGATTTTGAGATTTTCTTTGGAGGTTGTTGAATGTTGATAAATGAGAATTGAATTTTTCCTGAAATTAATATTCATTTATAGAGGGACTGGTAGACAGCAGCATTTTTACTTTGGGTCCTATTTTATGTACCTAAATAGTTACCTACCTTAAGGCTGGTTCATGCATAAATTCTTTTTCTGTTTCTTTACCTTTTTCCTTATGCATAAGCTTTTCTTTTTCTGTAAAATTTGAGGTATTTCATGCACCAAAAATTAAGAGTTTTATCAGTCTTTAATAATGACATTGTTGACGTGTATGGGAAACTGCGAACGGTTTGTTGGGTTTTATCAGGGTGTTATAAATATTATTTCCCACGTTATTTTCAATTCAGACACGTATTTTAAGTCGTATTTGTTGTTTCCTTTAAAAAATTTCCTGTTTTTGAGGTTAAGTCGAGAAATATGGATGTTTTCATCTACTGCGCAGGCGCCATCGAATTTATCTTTAACTTTATCCGTAAAAGATAAAAGTTAACTATCTTTAATAGAGAATAAAGAAAATGATACGGAAAAGTAATGTGCATGAACACCTGCATATAAATACATGCAACTTATGTTCAATATTTATTATTAAGGTTTGATAATAGACAAACCACTAGCATTTAGTATAACCAGTTAGAATATATTTGTCATTATTATGTCAAGATGTTTGTCACATATATCATGTAATTATGAATGTAATAGTTTCTGCTATTCATTAAATATACATGTAATGTTTTAATTGTTTAGTTTTCTATAATATAAATATTACAAAGTTTAAACATGGCGCAGTCGTTCGCAGAAGTATCGGGAAAGTAAAATTTTGAGTATTAAATTCGCAAGTGTAAAATAATAGTCAAAAAATTTCAAAAAATTATGGCGGGATTAGCAAGTGGATTAGTAAAATTGCCCCCCGATTTCGACCTCCAAGGACAAAATGCCGCAATGGATTGGAAGTTCTGGAAAACCGCATTTGAAGATTACCTCTTAGCCACAGGACAAAACGAATCTGCAGATAAAGTTAAGCTTTCAATTCTACGCAACATCATTGGTACAGAATCTGCTAGAATTATGAATACATTTGTTGTTCCAGAGACAGAGGTAAATAAATTTGAATATGTCATAAATCTTATAGACAAATATGTCAATCCAAGAATTAATGAGTGTTTTGAACGATATAATTTTTTGAAACGTATCCAGAAAGAAGGAGAAACTTTTGAGCATTTCCTAACTGAATGCAGACATTTGGTACGTTCCTGTAATTATAATGACGTAGACCCGAAGCAAACAGCTGAGGATAAGGCCCTCAGGGATAAAATTGTTATGGGAATTAAAGACTCTGTAACCCGAGAAGCTTTACTAAGGATCGAAAAGCTTACTCTGGACAAGGCCATAGAATTTTGTAGGACCAGCGAACAGAGCAAGCAGCAAAATTTGCAATTTCAGCAAAACCAAGGTACCGAAGTGTATAATGTAAAAAAATATAAAAATAGGAATACTCAGGAAAACGCCTCGGTAAGTGACTATAATAAAAATAAAAATTATATTGAACATAAAAAAAATAGATATGATAGGAAAAATAAACCTAGGGAAAATTTTTACTGTAGACGCTGTCAATCAAATCATGGCGCACGTGAATGTCCAGCTTATGGCAAGCCATGTAAAAAATGTGGAATTTTAAATCATTTTGCTATTTCTTGTAAGGTCAAAAATGTTAAAAATGTAGACCAAGACCAAGAATATGACAGTGACAGTAGCTCTAGTAATGTATTTGTAAATAATGTAGATAGGGAATGTTTTTGCAATAAAATGAATTGCAACCATAAAAATATGTGGGAAGAAATTATAAATTTGGAAGATAAAAAATGTAGGGTAACTCTTGAGACAGGTGCTGATATAAGTGTAATTTCTCAAAATGTTTTCAAAAAAGTCGATAGGCAATTTAAAGTTAGAAATTCTGAATATATTATTAAAGGATTTGAAGGCACACAAGCCAAAACAATTGGCATTGTAAATTTAAATGTAAAGTATAAGAATAAGAATATATACGAGGATTTTGTGATTGTTGAGGGTGCAAACCGTGTTCTTTTGAGTGGTAAAGCTTGTGTTGATTTAGGATTGCTAAAAAGGGTTAATAAGGTTGACATAAATGTTCTTCCTCCTTCTACAAGCGATAAAGAAAAATTTATTTCAGAAAATATTGATATTTTTAGCGGACATGGTAGATTTTCAGGAAATTTTAAAATCACTACTATTGATGAATTTGAGTCAGTGAGCCACCCACCCACAAAAGTACCTATAGCAATAAAAGATTCTTTAAAACGTGAACTTAATAGATTAGTAGATCGTAACGCAATTTTAAAAGTGGATCAAATTGATGCCAGAGCAAGTATAAATCGTATGGTTATAGTGGAAAAACCAAATGGTAAGTTAAGATTATGTTTAGACCCTTCAGACCTAAATAAACAAATTGTACGTAAACCTAGACTTGTCCATACTTTAGAGGAACTATGTTCAAATATTATTGGTAAGTGTATTTTCTCTGTTTTTGATTTAGCTGAAGGCTATCACCATCTTGAACTGGACGAGGATTCCTCATGGAAATGTTGTTTTGCTACACCTTACGGAATTTATAGGTATGTAGTACTACCATATGGGCTCTCCAATTCTCAGGACCTTTTTCAAGATGAAGTAGAGAAAAATTTTGGCGATTTACAAAATGTTCAAATTTGCCATGATGACATGATCATAATGGGTTCTACTAAAGAGGAACATGACATTACAGTAAAAAAAGTTATACAAAGGGCCAGAGAGGTAGGTGCAAAATTTAATAAAGATAAGATCCAATATTGCCAGAAACAAGTAAAATTTATGGGCCAGATTTTTTCTAATAAGGGAATGGAAATAGATCCGGATAGAATTGAGTCTCTGTGTAAATTAAAATGCCCTAATAATAAAATCGAATTGCAAAGAATTTTAGGTTCATTTAATTATGTTAGACGATATATTCCGAATATGGCTGAATTCATAAAACCATTATCTGAATTGTTAAAATCAAATGTAGAATGGCAATGGTTGCCAAAACATGACGAATGTTTCAAAAACCTTAAAACAATTATCAGTAAACCCCCAGCATTAGTTCCTTTCAACCCCAAATTTAAAATTGTCTTGCAATGCGATGCATCAAAAAACGGTTTAGGCTGTTGTATGTTTCAAGAACATGAAGATGATATTCTTAAATTAGTAGCTTGCGCATCTCGTAATATGAATGATCATGAAATAAATTACAGTCAAACCGAAAAGGAATTATTAGCTATTTATTTTGGAACACAAAAGTTTCATAATTTTATTTATAATTTTGAAATAAATGTTCAATCTGATCATAAGCCAATAATCTCTATTATGAAAAAACCCGTCAGCAAAATTGGATCAGTGAGACTTCAAAGACTTAGGTTGAAACTTTTGAAGTATTCCCTTAATATATACTATGTTCCAGGAAAAGATATTCATTTTGCTGATATGTTATCTCGTTCAACTTTAAAACAAACTAGTTATGACCCTGAAATGTTAGAAATGGTACATCTAGTGACTAAATATTTACCAATGAGTGAGGAAAAGAAAACCGAATTTAGAGTAGAAACCAGTAAAGATGAAACCCTTTCCAAAATTTTCGATTTTTACTATAATGGTTGGCCTAAAGAAAAATTCATTTCGGACAAATGTAAACCATACTACAAAATTAGAGATTATATTTATATTGAAGCAGGCATAGTATTTTTTAATGATAAGATTATTGTCCCAGAAAGTCTCAGACTATATATCATCAAACTTCTTCATAAAGGTCATATAGGTATTAGTAAAACTATCAATAAAGCTAGAACTTTGTTTTTTTGGCCAGAATTAAACACCGACATTACTTTTTTCATAAAAACATGTAGAATCTGTGAAAAATTCATGCCAAGTAATTATAAAGAACCTTTGTTACCACATTCTGTACCAACACTCCGTTTTAACAAAATTGGCACCGATATATTAGAATATAGTGCTAAAAGCTTTTTAGTAATCATAGATTATTTTTCACATTGGCTTGAAGTCATATTATTAAAAGACAAAACATCAAATTCAGTCATAAATGCATTTCAGGATATTTTTACAAAATTTGGGTATCCACAATTCGTGATTGCAGATAATCTACCTTTTATTTCAAATAAATGCAAATCCTATTATAGAGACAAAGATATAACTATTTTAACATGTACTCCCCACTACCACCAAAGCAATGGGCTTGCAGAAAAATCAGTAAGTATTGCTAAACAAATTTTAAAAAAGGGAGCTGAAGACAATAATGATTATAGGGATCTTGTGATGGAGTATAATAATACTTGCATTGTTAGTCTTAATGCCTCTCCTGCTCAAATTCTTCAAAGTAGGAATCTAAGATCGCAATTACCATTAAACAATAATCAACTGGAGCCAAAAATTCAAACACACATTTATACGAAATTAGTTGATCAGAAAAAACACTTAAAATTACACTACGACAAAAAAGTTCGTAAATCTCCAACGGAATTTAAGAAGGGAGATAAAGTTGTAATTAAATCTTCTAAAGATCAAATTTGGCATAAGGGTATAATTTTAGAAAAAGCTAATGAGCCGCGATCATATTGGGTGAGGAAGGAAAATAACAATAAAATAGTAAGACGTAACAGTAGTCAAATGAAATTATCATTTACAATTTTAAATCAAAACGAGAGAATTCTTGAGCCTGAATTGTATCCTTTCGAGCAAAGTCAACCATCACAACCTCGATCACAACAGAATTTTAATTTGTATAATGATATTAACCTTATTCCTAATATACCAAATGTATCCCCGATAAATAAAGTACCTAAATCCCATGCTCAGTCACATATACCAGTTCCTTCTGATAATGTTAATATTGATAATCATAAGCGTGTATCTAGTTTTGGAAGAACTGTAAAAGCCCCTCCTAGACTGAATCTTTAAGGGGAAGGTGTTCAATATTTATTATTAAGGTTTGATAATAGACAAACCACTAGCATTTAGTATAACCAGTTAGAATATATTTGTCATTATTATGTCAAGATGTTTGTCACATATATCATGTAATTATGAATGTAATAGTTTCTGCTATTCATTAAATATACATGTAATGTTTTAATTGTTTAGTTTTCTATAATATAAATATTACAAAGTTTAAACAACTTATACATTACTTACGGATATAGATAGCGACTAAGTTACGGAAACGGAAAATATTTTCATGCATGTACCAGCCTTTACTCACCTAGTGTGGAAAGTTTCTCGAACTATTTTTAATTTTGACCTGGGCACATTTTTTTTTTCTATTTACGGGATTTCTCCATTAAAATGATATACATGTTACAATACAGTTGGTAACATATCAATATAACTCACTAGTATCTAACTTATTACCCAACAATACAATATCCCATCTTATTCTCTACCTATTATTCTTTCAATCTGATTAATGAACATTCTTTTACTTGTTCCAATAAGGTAGTAGTACTAAAATGATGAAATTTCAATTTTTTTTGTGTTGAGATTTTGGGTCTGAATGATCATTGGCATTGGGGACCCCCCAAACTCCATACACTAAATTATTCTGAGATTTGAAGCCAAAATCTATAAAAAAAGGCACTCAGAAAATTGAAAAATTGATAAATTCACCCGAAATTGCTTAACGCGATTTTATTCCTGGAACTATAAATCCAAATGAGCTGAAATTTTCAGGGATTGTAGTCTTCCACTGGGATAAGAATCGCTGAAAATGTCAGTTTGCTAGCTATAATAGAAAAAAAGTTATGGGTCTTCAAAGTTTTTAAAATTCAAATCATAAGGTAGCTAGCTATCTAAGTACTAAAATGATGAAATATCAATTTTTTTTTTGTTGAGATTTTGTATCTAAATGATCATTGGGGACCCCCCAAACTCCATACACTAAATTATTCTGAGATTTGAAGCCAAAATCTATAAAACAAGGCACTCAGAAAATTGAAAAATTGATAAATTCACCCGAAATTGCTTAACGCGATTTTATTCCTGGAACTATAAATCCAAATGAGCTGAAATTTTCAGGGATTGTAGTCTTCCACTGGGATAAGAATCGCTGAAAATGTCAGTTTGCTAGCTATAATAGAAAAAAAGTTATGGGTCTTCAAAGTTTTTAAAATTCAAATCATAAGGTAGCTAGCTATCTAAGTACTAAAATGATGAAATATCAATTTTTTTTTTGTTGAGATTTTGTATCTAAATGATCATTGGGGACCCCCCAAACTCCATACACTAAATTATTCTGAGATTTGAAGCCAAAATCTATAAAACAAGGCACTCAGAAAATTGAAAAATTGATAAATTCACCCGAAATTGCTTAACGCGATTTTATTCCTGGAACTATAAATCCAAATGAGCTGAAATTTTCAGGGATTGTAGTCTTCCACTGGGATAAGAATCGCTGAAAATGTCAGTTTGCTAGCTATAATAGAAAAAAAGTTATGGGTCTTCAAAGTTTTTAAAATTCAAATCATAAGGTAGCTAGCTATCTAAGTACTAAAATGATGAAATATCAATTTTTTTTTTGTTGAGATTTTGTATCTAAATGATCATTGGGGACCCCCTAAACTCCGTTCACTTAATTATTCTGAGATTTGAAGCTGAAATCTATGAAAACAGGCACTCAGAAAATTGAAAAATTGATAAATTCACCCGAAATTGCTTAACGCGATTTTATTCCTGGAACTCAAGGGCGTCGCCAGAGAGGGGCAGGGGGGGGGCAGTTGCCCCCCCCTAGAGATTCGAATTTAACTAATTAAAAACAATAAAAAAAAAACAAAATAAAAAAATAGAAACAAAATCGTTTGATATTGTCGGCTAAAAACTTCCGGAAGCAACGGCAACGTCGGCAACCGGCAACACTGTTCCGCTGCCTGCTGCACTAGCATACGCGCACGCCGACTGCCGTTGGTGACAAGTGACGACTGGTTCCGGTTCGACGTACTCTTATTCTATGGACGTACTCTTAACAATTAAAATATAATTTTGGAACCAGTGTTTTAGTGAAAGTTTTTCCTACGATCTTTTTTGGTTTAGTGACTTGAGTAGAGAAATATTCGTTTATATTTTCTTTTGCCGAGAGTTTAACCTAGACATGGATATCAGAAAATTTTTGGGTAAGTAGTTGTATTTAATTTAAATAATTTTGTGAATATGAATTTTATTATTTTATACGTTCTACAAAAGTGCATGTGAAAGGAAAGGTTTATTTTTATAGCAATCTGGTAATATGGGAAATTAGAATAATTTTGATGCCTTGGTATAAAATTATTGTTTGTTTTTGCAGTGAATTTAAAAAGAAAAAAACCTGAAGAAAGAAGTGACACTAGCGATAGTGATGAACAGGGTGAGAAATTGGAAAACGGACAGAAAAGGGAGACGACAACAGGAGAAGGTTCTCTTCAGGAACTAGATCAGGTCCCCGATGCACGTTCTGCGGCTCTGTCGAGACCAAGCTCCTCCAAAGGTATATTTTTTATTTTTATTTAAGTATTACGTTCCTTCTTCCTTCTATTAAAAAATGAGTAATCGGAATACGTATTTTTTTCAGATTTAGATTTAGAGGGTTCAGATTCAATCAGCAATAAAAATGACATCGGTCGATTTGTTGGTCGAGCGTCGAATTTATCAACCCAACAGAAAAAGGAATTACTTGAGAACTGTTGGATGCCTTCTAAGACGTATAACTTTGCCAAAGACGCCCAGCATTTGAAAAGAAAGTTTAATTATTCATGGTTGGAAATATATTCTCCATGGTTAACCTACTCCGGACACCAAAAAGGAGCCTTTTGTAAATATTGTACGTTGTTTCCGCCCAATCTGAGCTCTGTTAGAGGCGTATTGGGTTCATTTATTACAAGGCCATTTTGTAAATTCAAAAATGTTCATGAACATTGCAAAAAGCACATGGATACCCAGTTTCACAAGACGGCATTGGAAGCGGCTAGATCGTTTCTTGTAAGTGTGCCAGTGGATGTGCAAATTAACAAATACTTCCAAGGGAGTCTTGAAGAAAACAGAAAAATTATAACATCAATAATTTCCTGTATTACATTTTGTGGATCCCACGACTTAGCTCTGAGGGGTAAACATTATGGTGACGGAATTCTGGAGGGGTTATACAAGCTACGAATTGACGCGGGAGATTTGGTTTTGAAGAAACACTTTGAGCATGGAAAAAAGAATGTAAGCTATCGATCAGTTGATATTCAAAATGAAATTATCAGTATTTGTGGGGATGTGCTTAAGGCGGATATGATCATGAAAGTGAAAAAAGCAGAAGCATATAGTGTTTTGGCAGACGAGACAGCTGATGTCTCTGGTACTGAACAACTATCAATTGGGGTGCGATATTTTGATGAGGAAACCAGAGAAGTCAATGAAGTATTCCTCGGCTTTGTCGAGCTTAAAGCATTGGATGCGAAATCTATTGCAAAAGCAATAGATGAGTTTTTGGTAGAAGAAGATCTTGATACGGAAAAATGCGTTGGTTTAGGATTTGACGGTTGTTCGACGATGGCCGGAAAAGAAGGTGGTGTGCAAGCAATCCTGCGCAAAAAATATAAAAAAGCTTTGTTCTTTCATTGCTCGTCGCACAAACTAAATCTAGTCATCAATGATCTGAATATTCTGTCTGAAATCCGGAACACCGTAGGGACCATCAAAGATATTATCACATTTTTTCGAGAATCAGTTTTGAGAAGGAAGTTGATACCTAATATTTCCAGGCTTTGCGAAACAAGGTGGAGCGAGAAACACAAAAGCATCAGAGTTTTTAAAGATAATTTTCCTGTTATAATGGAGGCCTTAGAAACCTTGTCGCGGGAAGGAAATAGTGCTACTAGAAAAAATGCTTATCAGCTCCATGCGGCAGCTTCTAGAGTCTCGTTCATTTTCAGCCTTATTCTGATAGCCAAATACTCAGCTATGATGGAACCAGTAGTAAACGTGCTTCAATCCGTAGCTTTGGATGCGGTTAAGGCATCCCAGCACATTAATCGCATTTTGCAACTAATAAAAAACCACCGTGACAATCCCGAAAAAGTCACAGATGAAGTTATAAGGGATGCTACTGTCGTTGCAGAAAAAATTGGACTGGGAGAGGAGATGCAGTCAGTGCCCCGTATTGTTGAGAGACAACAACATCGAAGCAACCACCCTGCAACAAGTCCTTCAGAATTCTGGCGGAGGTCTTTAATAATACCGTATTTGGACTCTATAATTAATTCTCTTGAAGTACGCTTTTCTGAAGAAAACACCCCGTCGTTTGCATTATCGAAATTACATCCGGCTCAAATGTTAACTATGTCACTAGAAGACGTCGTAGAAGCTTGCGAAGTCTTCTCCCACTTCTACCGTCTACCAAATATCAAAAATGAAATCGAACTTTGGCAAAAATTATGGCATGATAAACCTGAGTCAACAGAACTAAGCATTATAGATGTCCTAAAAGAGACTGAAAAGTTTTTTCCCGAAACAAGAAAAGCTTTAAAAATTTTAATTGCTCTACCTTGCACGACGTGTACTGTTGAACGATCATTTAGCAGCTTGCGAAGAATTAAGACCTGGCTGAGAAGCACTATGACAGAAAGTCGCCTCAATGGCCTCGCAATGATGAGTGTGCACAGAAGGCATATTTTTGAAAATATGGAAAATTTTATCAATAAAGTGGTTGACAAATTTACAAAGAACCCTAGAAAATTATGTTTTAATTAATATTGTTTGTTTTTTTTTTATTTTAATTTTTGTTTTTAAATTAAAAATCTTTCTTTAAAAAATCTGGCCAGTGTCTTTGTATGTACATACATATATAATATTTCCCTAACCCCATTCCCATTTTTTTCATCTTGGCCCCCCCCTGGCCCACTGGCTGGCGACGCCCTTGCTGGAACTATAAATCCAAATGAGCTGAAATTTTCAGGGATTGTAGTCTTCCACTGGGATAAGAATCGCTGAAAATGTCAGTTTGCTAGCTATAATAGAAAAAAAGTTATGGGTCTTCAAAGTTTTTAAAATTCAAATCATAAGGTAGCTAGCTATCTAAGTACTAAAATGAT